AATTGAACAATAGACAGGCGAGGGCATCCCCTTGCCTAACCCCACTGCTCACTTTAAACTCTTCGGAGTCGTCAGAACAGACGCGTATTCTGCATCTCGAGCTGTCCATGGTCATCTTGATTAGGCGTACGAGCTTCTGAGGGATGCTTAGCTCCTCCAAGGCACAGTATAGTTGCGTTCTATCAACGCTGTCGTATGCTGCTTTAAAGTCCAGGAATAAATGGTGGGTGACTACCTTACGCTCCATAGTCTTTTCTAGGATCATCCTCAGAGAGAACAGTTGATCAGTCGTTGAGCGTCCTCTTCGAAATCCAGCCTGATATTTCCCCAGTTCCTTTTCAGAATACGGGAGGATCCTCTCAAAAAGAATGTTAGAGAGCAGCTTATAAGCACACGAAAGGAGTGAGATTCCTCGATAGTTAGCGCATTCTGTTTGATCTCCTTTCTTATGTATTGGGCAGATAATGGCTGTTGCCCATTCCGTAGGCATAGCTTCCTTCTCCCAGATGGTCAGCATTAAATCATGCAGAACTTTCTTGAGTTCTTCACCTCCACATTTCAACAGCTCTGACTGGATTCCGTCCGGGCCTGGCGCCTTTCCATTTTTCAATTTCCTCAGGGCGTTTTCCATTTCCTCCTCATCCGGGGGTTCAATAGGATTCAGGGAGTCTTCCTTCATTACACCTACTTCTCCAGGCACCGTTCCTCTGTTTAATGCGCCTTTGAAATGTTGTACCCATCTCCTTAGTACGTCATCTTTGTGGCTTAAAAGAGTTCCATTTGTGTCTTTGCATGCCGTCACTCTGGGCCTAAAAGCTGCCCTACCCTCGTTTATTCTCTGAAAGAACAGGCGACTTTCATTTTGGCCTCGCAATGCCTCTGTGTCCTCCATGTTCTTATTTTCCCAAGCTCTTCTCTTTCCGCGGAATAATCTCTTCTCTTCGCGTCTTTTTCTTCTATATGTTTCTTGAGAGAGCCTTGTGGGACGCTGAACCTTCTTTCTGTAGGCTTCATTTTTCACTTTTACTGCTTGAAGGCACTCAGCATCAAACCATGGGGGCCTTCTAGATTTAGTCTCGTAGCCAAGAGCTTCTTCTGCTGCCTGTTTCATTGCGTTGCTGCATCTCTTCCACTGTTCATCGACCATAGAGCTGTCATTAATTACTTCTTCATTAAGTTTCGTCTCCACAGCTCGTTGATACGAATATTGGTGGTCTGAGTCCTTAAGTTTAACCACATCAATTTTCTTCTTTGGTCGTTGGTAGTGGTTTTTAATCAGCGAAATTCGTGATCTGACCTCGGCAATGCTCAAATAGTGATCCGTGTCCATATTTGCACCTCTATAAGATCTTGCATTTATCATGTTGGACTTGTGACGGGCACTAATGAGTACATGGTCTATCTGTGATGCTGTTTGCCCATTTGGAGAGATCCATGTTGCTTTGTGGATATTCTTTCGAGGAAAAAGAGTTGTTCCAACAACCAGTCCGTGCAATGTAGCAAAGTTCACCATCCGTAGCCCATTATCATTACTGGTCTCATGCAAGCTGTGGGTTCCTATGGTCGGCATGAGTGCCACCTCCTTACCAACTTGTGCGTTAAAGTCACCAAGAATGATTTTAACATCATTTTTGGGGCAGCTTTCTGTCACGCGTCCAAGTTCTTCATAAAATGCTTCCTTATCCTCCTCAGGTGACACCTCTGTTGGGGCATGGCAGTTGATTAGAGAGAAATTAAAAAATTTTCCTCTAATCCGAATGTAGCATAACCTTTGGTTAATGGGAGTAAATCGCATCACTAACTGTCGAGCTCTGCCTCTCACAACAAATCCGGTACCGAAGATGTGATGCTTTTCATGGCAGCTATAGTAGAGTGTATGGTACTTCTTCTCCATAATTCCCTGTCCTATCCATCGGACCTCTTGGATAGCTGCTATGTCGATTCTGTATGTGTCCACTTCTGCAAGGAGCGCACGAAGTGCTCCTAGTCTATGTAATGATAAAATGTTCCAAAATCCAATTCTTAGGTCATTTAGGCGTTTCCTGGGTCTGTTACCGTAATTCAGTCCGGCTTCTTCTCTTTGAGGTTTCGTAATAAGGTACTTTAGGGGGGGTGGGTTATCAGCCCACTGCCCCCGAGTCAGGTAGAGGGGCTGCCTCCTCCGAGCATCCTGACTTGTTCCCCCATCCGGGGTGGCTACCTAGGGAAGGTGACCCTAGGGTGTGTACTTACAAAATTAGGTTTTGATAGTTATTTACTTTAATGATTTTTGCCATATGCCCCTAACGACTTAAGATTTTGTTGAGGGAAGGATAGACAAAAAAAAAAAAAAAAAAAAAAGAATGGCAGTAGTTTTTATTATGTGTTAAAATTCAAAATAATAATTGTGAAACACGGGTGGATCTATGGGGGGAAGCTTTCCAGCTAATGCCACCTCTTCCTCAACTCCAAAATGGTAAAATATAACCATGTTTTATGAAAAAAATTATCTCTAAAAGTATTACTGTCCCTCTAATTACTTTTAATAGGACTTAAAGAATCACTTAAACACCATTTCATCTAGGTAGGTTGTTTGTTTCTTTCTTCCAAAGGAATTATCCTTATATATATTTACAAAAAATAATCTTTTGGGTTGAGCTCCTCACCCAAAATTAAATCCTGGATCCGTTAGTGTTGTGAAGAGAACTAATGTAATATCAAATATTTAAAATTATGTGCAGTAATACTGAAAGACCAGTGCCTCAAATTCAAATTGCCCCAAATAAACAGCGTCTTCACAGACAAACTATTCGCCATATATCAGGCCTTGTTATTACTAACAGAAAAAAACATAAAAAATGGCCTTATAGTTACAGACTCTTTAAGCTCATTAATGGCCATTGCCGAAGGGAAAGCCGACAATGCCATTTCCAGGAAAATCAAAAACTGCCTTTGGGAAATGAAGGAGTCGCCGGACAGAGACATCATCCTCGCATGGGCACCATCACATTGTGGCATATCTGGGAACAAAGCTGCAGACAGAGCTGCGAACCTGGCAGGAATAAAAACTAATGGAACCACAATGATCAATTTAATGACCACTGCTGACTGGAGATTGGAATGCAAAAAAATGCTATATGAAAAATGGCAATTCAAGTGGAACTAATCTACGAATAAATTACAAGAAATTAAAAAAGGTACCAAACCGTGGACAACCTCTTTCAGAAATAACAGAAAAGAAGAAACAATTTTAACTCGGCTTAGATTTAGACATGGAGCCTTTACCCACGGCTACCTAATGAGAAGCCTGGAACCACCATTTTGTAAAACATGCAACACCTCACTTACACTGAAACACATTGTAACAACTTGCAGACTATACTCCGACACCAGAACAAAACATAAGATACCTTCCAACATATCTGAAGCACTTTCAGATGACGAAGAAAAGATACAAAAAGTGTTTGAATTCATAAAAGACATTAACTTTGTACAACTAATTTGATTACATCTAAAGCCGCTAATGACCCGATCGGGTAGATGCGGAATGTAACAATAAATAAATAAATAAATATTTAAATTTAATTTGTTTGTATAGTTCTGAGGTTTTTTATTTATTTTGTTTTGCTTAATATATATACTTGAAAATATCTCTTTAAAAAAATACCATTGAATATATTATATTCAATTGTATTTTTTTGAAAGTTATTTTCTAGTATATATAATAAGTAGAATAAAATATATTATACTATCATGTATCTGTACAGCCTTCATAACATTGGTATATTTCTAGAACTAATAACATTAGTTCATTAAATTACTAATTTGATTTTTTTTTTTTTTTTTTTTTTTTTGTAGAGCTCAAATAAAAATATGTTTTTCACAGTCTTAGGTTGTTGTGGAAAATGTTATAAGAATATCACGTGGAAATTGAGGTGTGATTGAATCATAAAATCCTAGGATACATTGATATATATGATTATCTTTGAATATAAATGACAATTTAAATAAAAGTAATATCTAGGTATCAATAAAATAATTACATACCTATTACTAGGCACTAAGCCTAGCCAGCTAGTCGACTTTTCTTAACTGAGTTTAGTTTATACATTTTATTCATTCATGTACCTTATTTATTATTAATTTTATTGTTTTTTTTACCTCAAATTATAGGGTGGGAGTGAAACGTTATTCTCGTCACCCCAATATTTTTAATTTGAGAAGGGAGAGGTGATCGCCCCAGTTAGGACTTTGTCAAAAAACTAGCAAGTTTTGAATTGTATTTCTATAAGTAGCGAATCCATTTGATGTGTGTAATGCCTATTACCATTAGTTTGATTGAAGTAATTTTTAGTGATTATGAGTGTTGATACCTAGATGATGCAATATCGATTTTAACAATTTTCGATTTGCAAAGCAGTACATTTTTCTTGTCAAAACTATATTTCAAAACAGCTTCCCATAGAACAAATTCAATGAGTAGGTAATTAGATAACTGTAATTAGTAAGGATGCTATGCTGACCATACTAGACAGACATTTTTTTATTATTAAATGTTTGTGTATGATTTATCTGTTTAATGATTGTTAGTAATCATTTATTTAATGTGATCATTCAGCTAGTATACAAAATTAATTAAATATATTGAGTTATATTACAGTATAAATGTTAAATATAATTAAATAAACTGTTTACAATTTTCCTTCATTTTATTCTTGAGAGATAATTTTGGTTACATTAGAAAACTTAAACAATAAGATATAAAGTTGGCGAATTTTGTGAAAACATTTACATAAGTTTACAGTTTTCCCGTATTTATTGGTATCAATAAATGCTTACTCTGTCCCTGTTTCCTAGATATTTCTACTCCGGAACAAGTGTAGCCACTGTCTTTCTTTTACTTGGGGGTGGGAGGAGGGGAGGAGAGCTAGCTAATTGAATTTTAGTGTAAACTAGGTAACAATACACTTACTACATAGAGAGAGAAAAATTATAGCTAAACAGATGTTTTAAAAACAAGATTAATAGTTCAATATTTATTTATTTACAAATATACAGTAAATTAAGATGAAATTAGAAATCAGGAGTTTTTCTATCATTTTTTTTAAGTGAATGCTGACTCTTGGCGGCCAAACGATGAATGTTTGCCCGTTCTTTCCTGAAAAATAAATATTAAAAATTTCAATAGATGTGAACAATCAATATTAATGGCTAAAAGTACAATAATATGTCCAAAACACCTAATTTTTCACTAAAAGCTTAAGAAGTTTGAATGCTGCAAGATCTTAAAGGAGATAAAACATGGTATCTCCAATTATGTCAGACACTAACTTGATTATTAATGCTTACAATTTGGGGACTGTTATTTCACTGGACATTTTTTTTTTTTTGGGGTCCTCCCCTTCCTCTCCGTTAAGGCTATACGGGATTTTCCTGAGCCAGGGGGTGTGAGTGGAGATTTAAAAGACTCCCCCATCACCGGGACGCGAACTTGTGACTATTTTTATATCATTGAGTCATATATCAGGTTGCCGGACAACGGCGATGCAGTGCACACGCGTTAGCCCATTTGGCCACTCCGCCCACAATATTTCACTGGACTAAGACTGGTATAGTGCGTCAAAGATGATTGCCTGTGGGGAGAAGGGAGCTCGTGCAGCCTTTCATCTCTCAAGATCCACTTCCCCTCTTCCTCCTAGGATCACCTCATACCAGGCATGCATTTTTCGATGTTCGATTTTCTTCTAAAGTCAAATTTCGTAAAAGAAACGGAAAAAAAAATGGTGAAAGAAATTTTAACTTGAAAAAAAAATTATATAAGTACGTACGAATGTGTGAAGGCAAAAGAGTGAGGGATCAGCAAGAAAACGTTTTGTCACAACGCACCTCTCTCCCTATCTACCCATCGGTAAACTTATCTTAGAGAGACTCTAACAGTAGCAATTGGAATATTACAATCAATATACTTATTTCTTAATTTACTTTTAAGCAGATAAATAATAGCACTTGTTTAAAAATATTTAAATTATAAACAATTAAATCATAACAGATTTATCACTTTAGAAAATAAAAACTAATACATACAAATATCTGTTGAAAAAAAATACCTTTTCCTTAAAATATGAAGAGTTTCCTGAGAAGGTTCTTGAACTACGCAGGCCTTTGCTGCTTTGAAAATCATTTCCCTCAGTATTGTGATTGCATCAGCTTGATTATAGAACTGAGATCTTGTTTTATCAGATTTAATGATAAAATAGCCATCTCTATTAATTCTTGTATTGTACTAGAAAAATTAGATTCAATTATTAAGTTAATATGCTAGGTAAGAGTAACACTATATGGATGTGACTGCTTTATGAATATTATTATTTTTTTTTATGTACTACTAAAATAACAAACACTTGAATTTCGCTAATTAAATTGAAAAACTCATTTTAACTATCTATTAATGTATATTATTAAAGAGATGGTGAAATTTAAAGAAAAAGTGATTGAGTTATTTACTCGATATCAATAGAATAGAATAAAATTATTATAATATAAACACAGCATAGAATAATGAGAGAACAGAAGTGAGAGAAGGACTTCATCTGAAAAAAAGTAGAGGTATTTGTTTGCTGGGATATGGGAGGAATCCTTGATATTTACCAAACACATTATAGAGAAATCACAGTAATGACCTTTAGTGATAACTAAATGTCTCTAGTGTGATCAGCTGAATCAATTGAAGCTGGCAATTGAGGAAAAAAAATCCCCCACTTATCAATAGACTCAGCATTTTATTCCACCTTGACAATGAGAGGCCCCATATTGCTAAACATTGCAGAAATTGAAGTACTTTGAATGGGAAATTATTTCTAATCCAGCATATTTTCCTGACTTCGCTTTGGCAGTTTCCATACTTCATTAGCGGCAGGAATATGAATTCATTCGATGAAGTAAAAAACGAGGTTTTGGCTTTCTTTAATTCAAAACCAAAAGATTTTTTCAGAATAAATATATAAAATTTGGTTTCAAGATGGTAAACTGCTAGAATAAGAAAGTAAATACATTTAGGATTGAAAGTGTTTTATTGATTTTATCCCACCCCTTATATCAGGCAATTAAATACTGACATTTCTTTTGTTCAATGATCTGGTACATCCATCCATTATTATTTAAAATATCATAATTCCTATTCTATTCCAAAAGAAATATCTGCCTGGAGGCAATTGTGATGTTAAGTATAATACTTAAGTCCAGGTTACATAGTTAAAGGCTCTTTTGACACGTTAGTGCCACTATAGACTCCGAACTAAATCTCCTCTCTTCTTCTCAACTGCCAGTATCCTTCTTATCGTCTCACTACATGATCCTAATAACATATAATATCCAAACCCCTCTGATTCATCCGAGAACCTTCACTGTCCGTCAGATAGACACTCTCACCCGTGAAAAAATGCTACCTGACCTTGAAACCTTAGACTTGAACGAAATATATTCCTGCTCCTCCATCAACTCCATGGTTGAGATCCTGACTTCCAATCTCCTCAATATCCTTAACATCCATGCTCCCATAAAAACCTCAACCTTTCGCCGCCGGCCTGCACGTTGGATGTGTCAAGAAATTAAGGATCTGCAGAAGAGGCGTGGTGCTGCCCGTAGACGCTTTAGACATACCAGGCTTACAAATGACAATCAAGCGTTTAGGATGCTCCGCAACTTGATAAAAACAAGAATTCGGCAAACTAAAGCTTCCTACTTCCATGAAGCCCTTTCATCTGCCCCAGATCCCAAATCTAAATGGCTAATCCTTCGCAAACTTTCTCTTTGTGAACCTTCCAGATCCCCTTCCTCACTGGTCTTTTCCGTTTCACCTGACGATTTAAATTCACATTTTATTTCTGCCTCCTCTACCTCTTCTCTTCCCTCCTCTTCCAACTTTGCTCCTGAGTCATCATTTAATGATGATGACTTTTATTTCTCCAACATTTCCCAGACTGACTTACTAACCTCAAAAATGGAATTCCATACCAACTCCATAGGACCAGATGGCATTCCTGTCAAATTGATAAAATTATGTCTCCCCGAAATCCTCCCAGTTCTCCATTTCATCTACAATTTCTCCCTACACAACTCAATATCCCCTTTCTCTTGGAAAAAAGCCATTGTACTCCCTTTAAATAAAAAGCCTAATCCATCCTCTCCCGACGACTTTCGCCCAATCTCAATTCGTTCCAATCTCTCAAAACCCCTAGAAAGATTGGTGCAATCCCAAGTTTCAAATTTCCTCGAAAAGTCCAACCAACTTGATCCTCTCCAATCTGGTTTCCGTCCCGGCTACTCCACACAAACCGCCTTAATCAAAATTACCAATGATGTTCAGACTGCAATAGATAATAAACAATTAACTGTCCTTATACTTCTTGACTTCTCTAAAGCCTTTGATTCCATTAACCATCCCATCCTTTTCAACAAACTAAAATCACTTTCCTTCTCCAATAACTCCATCTCTTGGTTCCAATCTTTTCTCTCACAACGCACCCAAGCAGTCTCCATTCCTAATCAACCACTATCTGCCAACCTGCCTTTATCCTCTGGAGTTGCCCAAGGATCTAGCATATCTCCTCTCCTTTTTAGTTCCTATATTAATGACCTCCATGACTCAATTCTCCATTGTTCCCACCACTTTTATGCAGACGATTCTCAAATATACCTATCCTTTTCTCCCCCTGAGCTATTGGTAGCATTTACCAAGATCCCAGCAGACCTAGATCTAATCTGTGCCTGGGCAAACTTAAACGGATTAAGGTTAAATTCTTCAAAAACTCAGGCCATTGTCATTGGTTCCAAGCCCCTCCTTAGATCCTATACCAACTTTCCCATACTAAACCTTGGTGACCAGCCAATCTCCTTCTACTCGTCTGTAAAAAATTTAGGACTATTTATTGATCAAACCCTCTCCTGGAGTCACCATATTTCTCATATCTCCCGACGGACAGTTTCTACTCTCAAACTATTCCATCGCTTCCGCCCTCTCCTACTTCAATACGCATAGACTTCTCGTTTCCTCTCTCATCTTCTCCCACTTTGACTACAGTTGTGTGGTGTATGATGGACTCTCGGTGGAACTCCGTGACAGACTGAAAAGATTAATTAACAGTTGCGTGAGATTTGTAATTGGTGCCCCGAGATACTACCATGTCTCTCACCACTACACTGAGTTAGAGTGGCTCTTCCCCTCCATTCGAAGACAATATTTCCTAGGTACATTCCTCTATCATATCATCAACAATCATCGTCCTTCCTATGCCTACAACTTTCTCCAATTCAAGTCCTCAGTCCACTCCCTCTCCACAAGATCTCGACCTTCCGACCTTTACATTCCTTCTCACAGATCTGCCTCGTTCCAAAACTCCTTTATTGCTCGTTCTGTTTGTTTCTGGAATTCCCTTCCTATCAAAATTCGACATTCTTCATCCCTATCTACATTCAAAACCCTCCTATTCCAATTCCTGTCCCAAAAACAGTCAGATGCCAGCTAACCTTTTATGTAAAATTACATATTATTTATAATAAAATATTCACATATAGCTCATAACCTAGATACTTATTATAGATTCGACTTTCTTCTTTTTTTTTTTTTTTTTTTTTTTTCAACTGAAACACAGATTTTACTGTTGAGAAGAATTTACATTTATTTTTTCTGTATTTTTTATTTACATTTTAACATTGTACATATTGTACTTAGTATGGTTTCAAGAGTTTTGTATATAGATTTTTTTATTTTATTTTGTATATAGTATGTATAACTAACTTTTTTTTTACTGATTTATCTTTATCTTAACTTTTTATGTTTGTTTTTATCTGGCCAGATATAAAATTTTAACTTCTGTACTTTTTTGTTATTCTGAAGGGACTTCGTCCCAGAATAAAATTATTTTTCTATTCTATTCTTTATTTTGAGTATTTTTACAATTTTTTTCCTAGATTATATTCATCAGTTACTAATCAATTCTAGCTAATAAAAAATTAAACAACAATACACTACCAAGTCTGCAAGTTTTTTCTTTACTTCATCGTCTATCCATTCTGCTGACTCCAAATTAAAACGGATATCCACCTTAGTGTTAACTTTATTCACATTTTGACCTCCAGGACCAGAACTTCTACAGTAAGTAATATTTAGTTTATCTAAAACATATAATAGCAAATATCTAATGTGCAATAGTATTAAAATTCTTAAGAAAAATAATTTTTAAAAATTTTAATATAAAATTTACCGATAGGTATGAAACCATTGAATTTCAAATTTTGATTTTCTGGTATCTACAAACAAATACAACTTTAATTAATAAGACATTGATACACTATAAAATTAATTAAATATTTAGAAAATTTTGTTTTAATACTATCATAGAAGTCAGAATAAGACAGATTACTTTGAGGAAGATTTCTCTCTTTCCCAGATTAAATCTCATAAAGTAGGGCTGTGCTATTTCACCATTTTTTCTTATCTTTCTTACACTGGCTACGTTTCGGCTATGATGCCATTTCATTTATTAATGTTCCTTATATATTGTTCATAATTGGATTATAGTCTTATTATATCATTAAAATTAATTTCACACTAAACAAAAAACATAAATGTATTAAATATTTTTCTGTAATACAATATTACCATCAATGGGAAGTTTCGAGTTTACTCTCATCTTATATTATGACCTTCGCCATAGTGAAAAAGAATCAAGGAAAGAGAAGAAGCCTAACTCAAGGTCCTCTTAATCTGAAAAAGGAGTATGCATTTTTAGTGAGTTTTCAATTTGGAGTAACAAAGAAAAGTAAAATATGGAACAGACTTCATCACATTAATTGTTTAAAAATTACAGTTTTTATAATTCTACTCTCGCACTGTTTTTAAGAAGAAAGTGAACAATATAATTTCTTGGTGCGAACTACGACCCATCGTCCTTTGAATAGATGTTAAATTATGGTTAAAATTGACAATTCATGAGGTTCTTGGAGTCAAAACAACCAGATCAACAATATTTTCTGTGATCGGTACTCAATATTTTGGTCAAATTAATGCATTTCTCCCAACTTTTTTAGATTTTTTATGTTTAATACATTCACCTACAGGAGACCGAAGATAAAATTAGACTTGACTTTAATATGATCTTGAGTTAGGTTGTGTTGTCAACTTCATGGAATAATACTAATAAGTCAGTGTTGTTTTTTGCCATCTTAAGGTCTACAGCTCATTGTAATTGGTACTATTTGATATGGTATTAAAAAATGAATTAAGGTTGATACCTTAATTAAGGCGGTGTTAAAATGTGCTACAAATGATTCTGGTAATTAATTTTAATACTGAACATGTCTACAAAGTAGACTAATTCAAATATTTCATCTATTTTATGTTATTTATTCCATAATTTGTTAATTATTTTATTGTTTCAACAAATACTCATGTTAGATTTTTATTCATTTACATACAAAATTTTAAAGCGTTTACATACTTATTGTTCAATATTTGTTGTGTTCATTACTATGCTTTTTCAATTATGTTAAGACAATTATTATTTTTTCGTTTGTATATATTTCAATATTAAAATTTTTTTAATGTGATACATTCGTTCAAATTATAACGTATACATTTATATTATAACCTTATTAGCTGTATATGTTTAGTTACTTTCTTTCTTTAGTTTAGATATTACAAAAAAACAACTGCAATTATTGTTAATTTTCAACCTCTCCATAATTTTTTTTTCGTTTCAAAACTTTTTGTAGGCATGTTATTATATTTGAATAAGTTACTGCCGTATTAGTTATCAAGTAATTAGTAAGTTTAATATATAATGAGACTAGTTACTCCACTTTTCATGTTTTTTTTACTGCATATTTTAAGATTTTTTACTGCATGTTAAATGGCATATTCTGCATTTTTTTTACGGTATAAAAGTCTGGGGTTTGGTCATGAGTTATCATTTTAAATATTTAAACTGACTTCAAGTTTCATATAATGCATCGTTTAATTTAATATTGCTCATGATTGTTTTGCCTGCCCTTCAACATTAAATTTAAAACATTTTAAGAATTTTTTTTATTTACAGCATCATAGTAATAACTTTGAAATACTATAAAAATGGTGTATATTTCTGTACTTAAAAATATTTTGAACAATAAATTTGATTTAAATATCTTGCCTGCCCATCAATCGTAAATACTGGCCTTAAGATATATTTCTGAATTTATAAGCAATATACTTAGCATATATTATAAATCAAGATACTAATAAAAATATGATATTAACACTATCAATAAATATAATTTTTTTGTAAGACACCACCTTAACAGGGGCAGTTAAGCTATGTGAGCTGGAGGGGTACAAATTCTTGAGTGAAATAGAGCTTTCAAACGTTGAAATAGAACTTATTTTATGAATGGAATTTTTCAAATGACATCTAAACAAATTAATAATAGGATTCTGAAACTGCATTTTATCAACACACCAGGCCACTCTACTGAACTAGATGAACAAAGTAACCACCGATAACCTCTCATGCTTACAATTTTACTTTCAATATCTGCGTAAAGATAGCGACATTTACTAGCTTTTAACGCGTAATAGTTAGTCATTCTAGTAAATTTGTTTCGGAAAAATAATATTAGAAGATTATTAGGATTTTTCGGCTTATATTCATCTGGTTCATATTTTACACCAATGTTAGGCAGAAATGTTTTTTATGTTCCTATAATAACATCTGTTGACAGTGACATTCACTGCTGACTCCCCGCCCTGTGGGTACACATTCTTTTGGGTAAAGCTTTTAGTGTGTTAACTAATTCCATCATTAGCGTCGAGAATTATATTATAAGGAAAAACTTTTAGTCTTTACAATGCAGGCAATAAAATGTGTTGTTGTCGGAGATGGGTGAGTTATTTTGTAAAAGATAATTACATTAAGTATGTAGTATAGTTTATTGTTCAGCGTAAGGTTAGTTTTCAATCTCAATACTTGGTTGGTTTTTTAATTTGCTAACGGATGAGAATAATTATTTTAATGTGATTGTTATTATCTTCAGTTTTTCTGTTTTGTTTTTTAGGAATGTATTCAATATGAATCTATTTTTATGTTAAATTATGTTTCTATGCTTGTCAATTTAGTGTTTATTACTATCATAATGCCTTAAGACCTAAGTAATGCTGTTTTTATAGAACCTTCATTAATTTTTTTTCTTTATTTTACAGTGCTGTTGGTAAAACGTGTTTGTTGATAAGTTACACAACAAATGCGTTTCCTGGCGAATACATACCCACAGTGTAAGTGATATAGTCATTTCATTCTGATTCATTACTCACTAAACTTATATTATATCCATTAACTTATTTTGTTTCAACTATAGTTAAAATAAATATATGAAATCATTATTGCTTTTATTCTTTCAGTTTTGATAACTACTCTGCCAATGTTATGGTGGATGGGAAACCTATCAATTTAGGTTTATGGGATACAGCTGGTCAAGAAGATTATGACAGATTGAGACCATTGTCATATCCCCAAACTGTAATATTTTTTTTTATCGTTGTTGTATGTTCATTTGTTGCCATAATTACATGTATATTTACTTTTGTCTTTTTGTTTTAGGACGTATTCTTGATATGTTTTTCACTGGTTAATCCAGCTTCATTTGAAAATGTTAGAGCTAAGGTAATGCAACTGTTATTAATTTTATTTTATCTTAAGAAGCTTAATGCTTATTTGTCTATATTAACATTACAACATTATGAATGCTGGTATATATCCTTGGTTTATTGTGCAAAGTCGTGTATGTAATTTTGATATATTTTTCCTCCACAAAATCATAACCTTGTACACTTTGTGTTAATGTAACTATGATACACTTAATCAGTTTTTGCATTGATAAATACAAATAAATTCACATTTAAAGTTTGTTCTTTAAAATGAAGCTCCATAAAAAATGTACTGACTAACTTATTGCAATAAACTGATGCTATAAACAAATTATTGTTTCCTCTCCTGTTGGAATTCTATTAGGGATAGGTCACCAATCAGCGTTATGTTTTCCAGCAATTACAAATTTTTAGCAGTTAGCTATTATTTTTCAGGATATCTACCTGGTGGTAAAATAAGGATTGTGACAGGAGTTCAAATGTCAGAAAAATTGTCATTAGTAACTGTAATGTATTCCTTTAATTTTCTTAAACTGTGGGATTGCTAATTTTGGTTGTCGATGGTTAATTCTAATTTTAGCTATTCCTATTTTAATTTATATGGACTATTGAATTAATAGTTAGTTATTACAGTATTAATGATTTTTTTTCTTTGACAATTTCAGTAATATGTACCACTACTCATTATTTTTTATTGGGCCTCCTTAAATACAGAAAGTCTTTAAGAATTATTTTACAAGTTTTAAACAGTAGTATTTAATTTTTCTTTTTTTCAGTTCCAACAATCCAGCCTTGCTAAAATTTGTGTTGAGAAAGTGTAAATAAAAATATTGGGCATTAAAATGGAAATTTATTAATAGTTCCAATTATTTGCCCCCCACTGTTTTATATGCATGAATACATTTCAAAATCAATTGCCATTTTCTGAATTGCTTATTATATCTGAATATTTATTTATACATACTTTCGAACATACATTAAAAAAGAAAAATCCTGTAAAAGCTCTAAAAATTAAAACAATGAACTTCTTGTGGTTTTTGAGTTTAAAATAATACTTAATCCTGCATAGTGAAATTTTCGTCTTGTGCTAGTTTTCAATAAATGTATCTCTCATGTTTAGCAGGAGATGATTGTATTGTACATCCTTAAGGAAATGCAAGAAGACAAGAGTTGGGGTTTGTTTCAATTTCGAGTTTTTGCCTAAACCTAGATTGAGTATTTTTTTTTTTTTTTTTTTTTAAATTTGCTTCAACAAATTAATTGTTTGACCTAAATTCGAGATCTACTTATGTTTATACTCGGTCTAAAAAAAGTTAATTAAATTGAAGTTGCTTTTTAAAACACCTTGTAGTTTATTTTTGCTTCTAATTTTGTGATAGTAAACTTTATATATTTTGTATTAATAATAAAAGTTTGCTCTTTCATATATTATTACACTTTTTGAGGAGAGAAAATCCTGTAAAAATTACTTTTTTTAAATAAATCAGGTTTGATGCTGTCGTTCAAGACAAATGTCTTGTTTAAACTTACAGTTAAGATAAGTAACGAATATGACATTAAATCATAACAGAATAATAGCTAACTTAATTAATACTTTAAATTAAAACTCTTTGAGACCATACCTTTTTGTCTGTCCAAAGGTCAGATGAGTTCTTGGGAATCCCAAAAAGTTTATTTTATTCTTTGTAATCATTCTCAATATTAAGTCATCACAGTTTAGTCATGAATCATTATCGTGTTGGGAAACATTTATTTTGTGTGAAGTAAATCCTTACCTTAGTCCACCGTAAATTTTACTGTAATGAAATTTTCATACTCTTCTATTATTTTGAAATAACATGGATAAACCTCCTGTAATCTAATTATATTAGTATATAAAAATTTGTTTGTAAAAGTGTGTCATTAAAAATCAGAATTTGTCTTAAGTAGCATTTTGTAAAATTGTGCCATTACTACTGGTCTTTTCAGTTAATTTATCTTTCGTTTACTTCCTGAAAACTCAGAAATACTTAAAACTTAAAATTTATTAGTATAACTAAAAAAATCTGGTGGGCGCATCACACGACTTTCACTTACCACCCTCTTCTTAGCAGAACTAAGTATTTTCAGACAAAGGAGAAGTGAAAGTTAAAATTATAGATGCTATATTTTTTTACATTTCATTGTGTTTATTTTTATTTGTTTAAATACCCTTATACAGACAAATTTTAATTTTTATATCGCTGTATTCTGTACAATTAAATATTAAATAATACCAATGATAGCATTTATGAAAACCGCATATGTATATGTACATAATATTGTCAGAGTCCGTATTATATTAAGCTCATGTTTTGGACATGCTCGTATTCCTTTGGTTTTTCCATTACAACTATTATCTGTTACGATCTCTTATGTCTCCTTTAGTTAATTATCAAATTCTTTCATATTTTATATTTAACTATTTTTTGTATCAAAGATGTGCAATGGTTAATTATTTCAAATTAAAAAAATTTAAAGTACTTTAGAGGAAGCTAATATTGAAAATTATCCATTTAAGTCCTGTTAGAGAACATCAATGAGAATAAAACCTAAATTATATTAAAAACTGCTTAATAATTCACTGATATACTGAGTTTAATTAAATTTGTTGGAGCTGTTTTTGAGAAAATTGTAAAAATGTGTTAAACTTATGATATAAAGTATCACTTTCAGTTTGCCAAAAATGTTGCTGTAACATCCAAGGCTTAAAAAACCTCAAATACGCAATTTCAGTTTCGTATGACTTTTCGTTTTTGAGGTAGACTGTTCATATACATACACACATGCAGACTATTTTGCAGGACTGGGTTATTTCGACTCTGGAGACCACAAAACATGTATTTCCGTTGAAAACTCAGGTTCAAAAATTTTCACGATCGCAATACTTACCCTTATTATATATTACATATATAGGTAAGTGAAAGTAAAAACTTCTAGCAATCAAGATCATTATAGCTTCCTCGCCATTTTCATTGGATAAACAATATTTGTACTTCAAGGTTTATAATTTTTCGTATGAGAATGAAGTCTTCAGAAGAACATTCACAGGTTTCATATCCATATGTTCATCAGTGAATACTAATATGCGGATGAATTCCACTTTTGCAGATTGGGAAATAGATAAATTGCGATTTAAAAAAAAATTCTACTACTTACTGAACATGCATATCACTATTGTTTTGTTTTTTTACCAATAACTACCCTATTTCCAACTTGGCCTAAATATTTTTTGTCATATCTAAAAAAAATACGTTTGCACTTGTGTAAGCGGAATGCTTGATGGAGTTTAATAAAATTGATATGGGACATCAACCTGCACAATCCTTGAAAATTTCATGGAAATCTGACAAACAGTAGGTGATATGCTCTTTACATTGAGTTGACTGTAGACCGACAGCAAACCAAATTTGGTCCTTGATGCCTAAAACATAAAACACGAGTGGAAATTTTTGATTTTGAGCACAAATTTTTTTTTAACCTAGCACGAATACAAATCTTCCTTACCTTCAGTAGTGAGAAAGCAAAATATAAGTTGTAATATACACCTTCATTGGAATTTGGTGGGGTGGTTCGGTGAATTAGTGTTGAACAGTTAAAAGGCAAGCTAATCTAGTTCTACTAGTTGAGGTAAAAGAAAATAACTGCTCTGTAGTTTTCCCAGAAAGGAAAATCCCAAAAGAGGAGAGGGGACATAGGATTTTGTTTTGGCAAGCAGTTGTTGTTTGGCTCCAGTGAAGAGAGGATAGCAGAAGGAATCCAGGCTCCAGTGGGTAAAACCCAGGAATAGTATTACCATATTGGAAGTTGTTTGGCCGAGAGACTCATTGTTTGTTACTACATGAGAGAGGATCTCCCAGGGAGCTTGAGTTGAGTAGAAGAAAGTGTCAACATTTTGGAAGATGTGTTTGGCAGAACATAGGAAAATGTTAGAAGACAAATGAATTTAGTTCAAAGAAGGAAGGAACAGTATATATAGAAAAAAGGTTAGCTTGACAATTAATACTTGACTGTATTTTAAAATCAAACAGTGTTTAGTGTAGTTAATATTAGTTTGTCTGAGTGTTTTGATCTAATTTTCAGTAACCCATGCCTTGAGATAGAATAGTTATAAATTTCAATGTAGTATATTAATATTCTTATAATTTTGTTTATTATTTAACAACCTCTTCTTTATTTTGGAAATATCCCAATAGTATTGAATTGAAGTGATTTTCCAAGGCTATATTATGATTACTTTAAAAATATAAGAGAGATGTTACAAACTATAAACAATAAACTAAATAATTTAATTCCATTACACTAGAATCGCTATGGGTCACGAACTCTGGCTGTAATGAGAGATCTAGATCAAGGAGCATTTTCTTGAATATTCGCTGTTTGTCATAATATTCACTTCACTTAATCATCTATAGTGGACTTTTAAAATCAGGCCTTGGAGTTACAGAAACTATAAAACAAGCTTGTAATTAATATTGTGATGTGTGTTATATATGTATCACAAAATTTGTATACCTTATACCTCGTAACATTTGGTGGCGTTCTTAGTCCATTAACGCAGGAGAGGTGTAGCCTTAAACATTTCGCTCATTTAGAGTTTCAATCTGGCCTTGCTGCAGTATAAGTATAAGTAATGAGCTAAATAATTTAATTCCATAACATGAAAATCACGGTGGGACACAAACTCAGTGTATGAAAGAAGATATACTAGATTAAGGAACATTTTCTTGAATATTTGCTTTTTTCATGAATGAAATTTATGTGTAGATTGTTCTAAACAGATATGCTATGAACATTGCACTTGTAAATTCACGTCATGTATAGTAGAGGATTCTGACTAGAAAGTTATATCTTTGCAATACATCAATTTTTAAAAGTAATTGGATCATTTTTTTCTTCTAAATTTGTTTTTGAAATAAAATTTAGTTTTTATTTAAACTAATTAAATTTTTAAATATAAATATAATATTGAAAATTTTATAAAATAATTTTGTTTTTCGACTTCAACAAAGTATTATTATTTATTACCCACAGTAAAAAAACTAGCATTGAAAGTAATTGTAAAATCTTTGGTTCGGTTTTGGAAGCTGACTCAACTACGCTCAGCTCTACTTTCGGCGGCCGTTTGGCTTAAAACATAAATCTTACAAATAGAGTACACATATCAGAGGGAAATTGAATTATGTTGCAAAAAGAAAAGCTCTCAGGATGAGATGCAGTCACAAAACGATAACAGGAGTATTATGTGAAATATAATAATAATAGTTTTGTATGTCAAACTTACAATAAATTAGAAAAACTTCCCAACTAAAAAAAGAAGTTAACAATTTATTATTGTTATCAATATGTTACAATTTAAGTTATTATTTTAAAATACAATCCTTTGCGTAATCCTTGTTTGTAAGATAAATACAAATATAGTTGGTACTGTAAAAAAACATCATAACCTTTTTACTGATAAGAGTTCTCTTCATAAAGAGTTCATTAACACTGGAATCACTAAATGATTCACTGACTTTGAACTACATCAATTTAGTAACGGAACCATTAACTTTTTATGTTATTTAACCTCTACCTTGCTATTTCTGGCACACAGAAAGGTCTTTTCTTGGTCATCCAATATCTCACCATTTCTTGTGAATGTATGGAGGGTGATTGTTCCAGAGATATAACCAAACCTATTCTAACAAGAGTGGGAAAGTTACGATTCATTCCGTGAGTCTGCCTCAAAATACATTTTAACCCATTCAGTATGAATCAGTGCCTCCATGTATTTAACTTTCTTTTACATCCATAAACATGACTAAAATTTGTTAATATTTAATTAAAATTAAGCTCCATCAAAAGATTTCTTTATAACAATTCATTATTTTAAAGGGTCTTCATCAGTTTTTGAAATATTTAAATGAATCGTACTACAAATTGTATATGAAGTTCACCTTAAGTAATGTTTTTTGTATCGGCAGGCATATTCTAATAATGTTAAAATAATACTACTTATTTTATCCTTTTTATTTTTAGTTAAGAATAGGTTTTGCTACTCATTCCTGCATCTCGTTCACAACTTACTAACTAAAATCTATACGGTTTCTGTACCTTTGCTACTGTAATAATTCTCTATAAGCATAATTCTCTGTAGGTTTAATGATAAAAGTATTGAGATATAATTGGACATCATATCAATTTGTATCTACATTTGCCTATTACGTTTTTTTTTTCTTGAAAACATTATTTTTAGCTAACATTTTTAGCTACATAGTACATAACAGCACATAGAAGGCTTGCTGAACTCAACCTACACTTGTCTGAACACACCGTCTGAACTGAAGATGATTGGGCCTCTCTTCTGTTTTTCCGACGAGCCCAGGTTTAGCTTATGTGGTGTAGACAGCCGGACATGTTCGAATGTGGAGAAGACTTGGTGAACAATATGATATGCTCAGTGCAAATTATCGGGAAGAGTGCAGTTCGGTGAAGGATTGGCGATGGTTTTGGGATGGAACAAGTATAGAGGCAAAGACAGACATCCATGTGTTACGAAGGCTGATGCTTAATGCACATAGGTACCTCACAAACATCCTCGAAGATTAAGTGGTGCTTTTTGGCCCATTTATCGGTTCCCGTTTCCTTTGTATGCCGGATAATGCTAGGGTTGCATATCGCAAAGATTGTACTGGACTACCTAGGCCAGCACACAGCCCGAATCTTAATCCCATTAAGAACTTTTGGACCCAACTTGGGTCGTCCATCTGTGGACAACAGAACCTACCCTCCAAGAACTCAAGATTGCCTTGGTACCTGAATGGGACTCTGATTACATCATAAAAAAAAAGATTTTAGGCATTTTATTTTTGTTTAAAAGATTGTTCATTTGATTTACTTCATTTTACAGATGGTTTTTAAAATTAATAGTTTTTATTTGTGGTCTCCTAAAAACAGTGTATGTCACTATATTATGGTCAAACAGTTTGCAAATTTTCTTCAATTGGGAACGAAATAACAATAAAACTCAAGGTGCGTCGGTTTTTATGGCCTCCCATGTATTTTAATAGGTTTCTTAGTCTTAATTTTAATATTTTTTTTTTTTACATTGCATCAGATTTTTATATTTTATAAACTTTAAGATAATACAGTAGTTTGTATCTTAATTGTATAACGTCATTAATGTTTAATACTTTATTTTTAGTGGTACCCTGAAGTAAGACATCACTGCCCTTCTACGCCTATAATTTTGGTTGGTACTAAGTTAGATCTCAGGGAAGATAAAGAAACGATTGAAAAGTTAAAAGAAAAAAAATTGGCACCTATCACGTATCCTCAAGTGAGTTCATGTTTTTATATTACCATCCAATGAATGACTAGATATTACAGAAGTTGTGTTAATTTCACCAAACCTAAAAGTAAAAAACAACAGCCCGTCTTGTGGGATCTTTCCCAATGTTAATATTGGGAACATACTAACCTATATTGTAAAGTCAATGTTTTTTATAAATCAATAAAATTACTTTACAATAAAATCTATAGAACAAACCATTTTGAAATATTCACATGCCAAGGAAAATACATTTGTGCATGCTTAAGCAAAAGTACTAGGTAAAGTTTGATAAAATTAAATGTGAACACCTGAAACATTAAAAAGCTCATAATAAATATGTATAATAAAAATTTATTTTATTTTTGTTTAATATAAAAACCTTAGTAACTTATTATCTATTGCTGCTATTGACTCAGTTTCGAGTTCATTAAATTCAGCATCAGAAAATACATTTAAAAGGAAACCCGTTGGATTGATACTTGAATTGAAGTTTTACATGATCTCCCCAATTTTACACTCTTAAAAAAATATGTAGTATAAAATATAGTCGATTACTTTTCAGTTATGAAGAATAACAAAACAAAGCTTCCAGTATAAAAAAAAAAAAAAAAAATCTAAACTAAACTAATTTATAAAAAGTACCATTTTTCAGTCAAAGGTTACTGGAACATTATAGTATGGTGTAATATAAATTAACTAAAATAAACTTAACTGAAAGTTAAGTAGTATATTTGATATATTGCACATTTTATGTTATAAATTTTTTCTTTTTTTTTTATAGGGGCTGGCTATGGCAAAAGAAATAGGTGCTGTAAAGTATTTAGAGTGCAGTGCCTTAACGCAAAAAGGTCTTAAAACTGTTTTTGATGAAGCGATTAGAGCAGTATTGTGCCCAATTTTGCCAGCCAAACCAAGGAGGAAATGCGCCCTTCTATAAATTGATCCTTTAAGTATGGCACATCTTTAGGTGTAAATTTCACTCTAGATGTGTGGTTATTTTGCCTCTGATTGCCATGTGGGTAAAATACTCGTTGTAAATAATAACATTTATTATATAAAGTACCTATAACATTTATTATAAAAGTTCTATTATTGATTTGTTAGAATTTCTTAAAATTTTGTTATATTTATAACAACATTCTATGTATATAAAGTTTGATGTATTAAGCTTTTCAAACAAGTGCAATAATATTTTTATTGATTTAAATCATTTGATTAACTTGGACTGAAAAGTTTAAAACACTTTTAAATAATCTGTTTGATTAAACCAACACATATATTTCTTTCTTTTTTTTTTGTTTTTTTTTTGGACGATTGATAAAAATATTTTGTTGACTAATCTCATGTTGTTAAATCCACATACTGCATTTTTTTTATAAATTTTTTATAATTTGTTATCTTTTATTTTCTTGCCAACATTTTACATAGAAAATTTTAATAAATATTGTTAAACTATTACAACTGTGTTAAAATTATATTTAAAAATTTTAATTAGTATTACTACTTATTAAATGAGGCACAATGCTACTATTTATTGTAAACATAAAAAATACTTGTATACAAAAATTCTACATTTTGCGCCCAAGTTGTTTGTTAGGATGTAATTATAGAACAGAGCTTCCATTTATGTAAGTATGGTTATATAAGCATTCTGTGATAACATAAAATATCATATATATTGAATTTAAATAAATTCATCTAGTAGGAAGGGTTGATAGAGAGCATATGTTTCTTTCAAATGTTAAAGAAAATAAAAATCTACAAAATTATCTTAAACTTTTACTTTTTTTCTTATTTTATTTATATTTTAAAATTTTATGGTGAAGAATTGAATTCTGTTACCAATAATATACATATACAAATTTTGAAATGGCATCCTGGGAGAAAAATTAAAATGTGGCATGTATTATGAAATGCCAAATTCAGTTATTTATATAAAATTTTGTTCCATTATGTTAGCTTTAATTTTCTTTTCATTGTATATAACTTTTTTAATGTCCTTATTTAAATCTATTACTTTTTTTAAAAAATTATACAGTCTTGGTAAAAGTATTTCATTTATTATTAATATTCAAAATTGTATTTCATGATTGTTTCATAAAAAAATCATAGATTTATTTATATTAACCTGTTGTTAATTATAGAATTGGATGGAAAATTAATGAAATTATCGAGTTTTTTCCTCTTTCCTTTTCCACCCGTTTTGATATATATTTTTTCTAACATTTTTTTAGTGTGCTCTTATGCCAATTAATCCTAATCCACTTTAACTAATTTATAGTACATTTAGTATTGTCTAATTTTGTTTATTTACATGTAAAAGATATTTTTATCTAAGCAAAATTAAAAAATAGAAAATTTAATTAATCGGTATTAGAACATAGGAAATGACACTACTCTTGAAAAATGTACTACTTACTACTATTTATTAAATTTACTAATATCTGTGCTGCTTAAGAACATTTATTTATATTAATCCCTAAATCGATTTAGTTCTCATGTCTCACTTTGTTATTTAATTAATTAGTTTGTAGAATATTTTTTATTGATTTAGTATTTCTTTTAATTCTAGTTTTCCCGATCTTGTAAAATGTTGGCATTTCTGAAAATAAAATGTTTAATAGTTAAATGTGTTCTATTGACAACATATTTTGTTTCCATGGTGTTAAAACTGCATATTAATAATTACATCTGCATCATTTTATTGTGGAAAAGTGAAAGTTTTAATTTCCAAATTTAGGTGCCTATCTTAGTCACTGCACAAATTGTAAGCAAGGCTTAATTAATTAATTTAATTTGATAAACTATAATTGTTTTTAAATTAAGTAAACTGAAAGACTGGCTTATCATGGCTATATCAAAAAAATAAATTTAAATAAACTTGTTAATAAATTAAATCATCAATGGGTTAGGGGTTGGTAAGAGTCATTAAGTAAGATTTGTTTTGTTTTTTTCTGTCATGGTTTACCTATTTACTAACTTAGCTAATTTTTAGCTGGAGGTGTTTCTAGCTCTTGTGTAGGTGTAAAAAATGCTACCTTATCTGAAAACATGCAGTGTCATTTCAGTAATTAATTTGTAAAATTATGTTACGTATGTTGATTATACATATTTGTAATTGGGTTATTGTATTATTACACCTTGTTATGGATTATGCTCACTTTCCTATTCATATGGTGGTATATATTTCCTAACATATATCTTCATATATGTTAATTTATATTTATTTATAAACATACCAGAAATTAAGAAATGGCTATTTCGGTAATTTCATCATTTTTGTTTTAATCGATTTGCATCTTCTGCCTATTATTTGTTAATGCGAATTGAAAACCTACCTTAGTTCTGAGAATATTCTATTTGTTTGAATTACCCAGATCCGAGTTATTTTCAAAACAATTAAAGCGCTATTCATTCTAAAAAAATTTAATATGGTCATCAAAGCTTCTTTTTTATAAAAAAAAAAAAATCAATGAAAGCCTATAAAATAGCAAACTATTATCATGTTTTGCTTTGTTTGGAAACATACTTTAAGAGTGGTTGGAATTTTTAGTTTTACATTTTGTAGTGCTATGTTATTTGGTTTTAATACAGTCCTTACTATATCCTGTAAGAATAATACGAGACGTTATCATCTTATTTGAGCAGGTTTTCAGCACTAAATATGAAGAAAATGAGTGTTATGTACATACATAAGTGAAAGGCATTATTCTTGTAAGTTATAATGCACTTGATGATCTAATTTTAAAAATAAATAATATATTTTTAAGTATAGAATGATCTATGACTAAGTATTTTATGCATTTTTATTAGTTGCTGTATATATTATATGATGATGTTTATTATGATATTTTGAATACAAAACACTGAATAATTTCTGTTAACGACAACTTTGTCAAGTGTATAATAGCCATTAATATTGGCAGTGTTCATTGTTTTTGATTAGTGTTTAAAAAATACAAATCGTTATATGAGAAGCAAATTAGCTTTAGATATTTAAATAATATTTTTTTAAGCTTATGCATTCTGTAAGTATGCATAGTTCTTTTTATATCAAAGGGTCATTCCATTTGAAAGTGATACTTTCCTGATTATCATTTATGAAGGCAAATGGTAGTAATGTATGTAAATTTAGTGTTTAATTTCCACCATGAAAACTGAATTGTTTCTTCGTTTCATTTCCTTGTAAATGAAGTGAATATTAGTTGATTTGTAAATATATGATTTTTGTTGTGATTGTATCAAACAAGTATGATACAAACCAGTGGCTTTATTATGAAAATAAATTATAATTAAAAACAAAATAACGTTAATTAGGTTTAAATAATTCTTTTCTGTTCATGAATATAGTGGAGTACTTATCAATTTGCTCTATGTTGTGTCAATTAACACTTTTTTAAGTTTCATTTGCTGTTTTGATTTTATACATGATTAATGTCTATACAATTTAACTGGTATTGATTCCATGGTTTCTTTATTTTGTATTTCTATAGAAAAATGTCTTGTATTATTATTTATTTGTTTGTTGTATGCTTATATATTTAAAGTTGAGTTCATAATTAATATCATGAATGATGAAATTTATTTATTTTTTAAATGATCCATAGTGATTTTATATTATTATTTGTCTGATTTATTTATTTGTGTTATTAATATATTAAATTACATATATATTTAGTCTACAAATGTGGAATTTCCCTTCTATTCATGAATCTCAGAATTAATCTTGATTATGCCTTGAAAAAGAAAGTATATTACCTTCTAAATATATTAGAATTATTTTTGTAATTTTTTCTTTTAGTTTGATATTGTTATTTTTATTAATTTCAACTTGTATGTTTTGTTAAGATGGTTTTTATACAATTTTTTTTTTGTTATGATAAAAAGCAAAAATTGTCTACTAATAACTGTTTGTACTATTTATGAAGGATGAAATCAACATTTCAGTTTAATTTTTGTGACTAATAATTTTGTTTAATAATTAATTATAACCTACTACAAGTTATTTTATGCTACACTTTTCTTGTAACCAACATCCATTTTAACATTTTATTTATGTTTAATAAATATTTTATGTTATGTTCGTTGAAGCTTAAAATTGTTGAAATTAATGTTCTTGAATTATTCAACTACAATGATAGTTATGGATAAGTATTGGAATGTTTCGGTTCTAGTGTTATCTAGTTTTTAAAGTTTTATTAAAACTACCCTACTAATTTCAGCATTAGGTATCCCTTAGTATTGTTAATTAAATGATGCATAAAATTAAATTTATTAAATCCATTTTAAGAACCCAACCCCTCTATATTAAAATATTTGAATAAAGCCACCAAATATACTGAACTGATAATGGATAGTAAAAGTGCAGTCAATTACATAAATACCAAAAATTCCCTTATGCCTAGAATCTATACCCTAGGTATTTTGTTTCTATATTTTAATTTATATGTCATTTTGTCTTCTCTATTCATTTATACGTACTTCTAAATTTTTGTTTACAAGTAGAAATTTCTTTTATCGTTTTTTCCCATTTCCTACATGATTCACAGAAAGATTGGCTGTTTATATACTATGATTCATTTGATTCGAGCTAAGACAGTACATTCTAAAATAATACATAATGTGGACAATTCTCTTCCTTTAAATTCAGAAGTAAATGAAAAAGGCTCCTTCCCATTATTGATTATCCAATAACGTACTATTGGATTCTTTTCTGTTCTATATTTTCCATCTATTCTTGATTTTTTTATGATCTATTACTTGGTAAATAACAGTAGTCCTCACAAAATCATATATTTCTTTTTCTCAGTTTATTATTCAACCATCCTTTTTTCATTGCTTTATTCTATTTTTTAATTAAAATCCCTACCTTTAATAAACATTTGTTCCAAATTTGAAGAAAATAGAATAATGATTTCCCAGTATAAGGTGGTTGCTATGGTGAAGAGGGTAAGTGGAGTTGGAGAGAGGTCTTGGGGAGGTGGGACATGAATGGGGGGAGGGAAGCTGTGCGAGCTTCCTTCCCCTACACTCAAACTTAACTTAGATGTACTATAGAACTGTAGAACACACAATTATTTAATGAAATTGAAGATATTCCAGTCTTAATTTTCTGCTTAATCTTGTATGTTTTAATAAGTTATTTATTTATAATCAATTGCCCTTACCGGCATTATGAAATAAAAAGCAACGATCAAATTTTTTATTTTGGAGAAAAGATTATTTTAGTATGAGAATGCATAGTGATTTTGAGTTCTTTATGTGGTTTTGTTTAGTTTTTTTTTGTTTTTGTATTCGTAAATGTTTTAAATTGGAGAAAACTTCCTTTTGTAGTAATATTTAAAATTGAAAGGGCTGGGAATACCTAAGAAAATCTCCCGAAGTATTTATTTGAGTAAAAACAGTCTTCCTGAAATATTTTGACCAGTTAACTTTTTCATAAATTAAATGATTAGGGAATAAGCACAAAAAATTCTTTTAATTCTTAACTTGGGTCTAACAAGTCTACAATTTTCATTTATTAATTGTAGTTTTGTACTCTGTTAAAGCTAATATAAGTGATCTATAATTATTATGTTTTATCGATTGACTGTTCGGTAAAATAATAAAATCAAGTTTATTTAAAAATTCAGTATGAAATAGTGACTATTAAATGTCAAAGTTTCAACATATATTGTTGATCTTCATCAGAGCTAAGAAAACAGTCCAAGAAGATGAAACTATTTGAGGAAAAAGTAAATAACATATAGAATAACTGACATCTAATTAAAGTAGAGGAAATTGAAGGTAATAACCAACAAGTAGTGAGTGTCAATAAGGAAGAATAAAACAATATATAGGAGGATTCACTGCAGAACAGGATGAGTGAAATATAAATAGTGACAGTTCGAAAGTGCGCCAATAGTAGACCTCCACAAAAGAATGAAAATTCATAAATATGTTTTATAAATTTAATGAATGCCTTTATATTATATATTTGAGGAATGTGTGTTAGTTACCTCAATCCAACCTGAGAAATAATTATTGTATAAAATAAATATGATTTAATTCAGAAACTGTTTTTTTTTTTACATATCAAAAGAAACGTAATCTTACAATATATTGGTTCATAATTGTAGTTTATTTATTATATTTTAATAATAATTTTTCTTATAAATAATGTTTTAATTATTTTATGCGCCTTGTTTTTTATTCTTAGTTATTACAGCTAATATAAGATCTGTATTAAATGACAACGTTATATTGAATGTTGTATAATATTTTTGTCCAAGTGGATTTTATTTAGTTATCTTGTATAGAGCTTATTTTTCACTTTTAATTTTGTGAGGAGCCTCTATTTAATTATACTTCATTTCAGAGACAAAAATTAAATTGTTCTAATTTATAACGCTTTTGTTTAGAATATAAATAATTTTATTATGATTTTTATTGCATATTTTGAAATAACTAGGTCATCCCATGCCCTCCACAAAAGAATGGAAATTCATGAATATGTTTTATAAATTTAATGTATGCCTTTGTATTATATATTTGAGGAATGTGTGTTAGTTACCTCAACCCAACCTGAGAAATAATTATTGTATAAAATAAATATGATTTAATTCAGAAACTGTTTTATTTACTTATCAAAGGAAAGGTAATCTCACAATATATTGGTTCATAATTATAGTTTATTTATTATATTTTTAATAATAACTTTTCTTATAAATAAAGGTTTAATTATTTTATGCACCTTGTTATTTATTCTTAGTTATTACAGCTAATATAAGATCTGTATTAAATGTCAACGTTATATTGAATGTTGTTTAATATCTTTGTCCAAGTGGTTTTTATTTAGTTATCTTGTATAGAGCTGATTTTTCACATTTAATTTTATGAGGAGCCTGTATTTAATTATACTTCATTTCAGAGACAAAAATTAAATTGTTCTAATTTATAACCCTTTTGTTTACAATATAAATGATTTTATTATGATTTTTATTGCATATTTTGAAATAACTAGCTCATCCCATGCCAAACAACATGATCATAAAACCCACCTCAGATTTTTAATATTCTTGGCACAATTGAGTTCCTAAAGAATCATCATATAATAAGTCACTTAAAGGTATCTTAATAATATATAAATGCCTTGATTTATGAATATTATATATAGGTATATTATTTAAGAACTTATAATTTATTATTTTTGATATGTCTCTTTAGAGGTAGTTAATAAAATTTATGTCATGCTCAAGATCATCATCATTTACAAAAAAAAATGAGTAAAAATCAGATCATCTCGGTAAAATGAAAATTACAACCCACTCTATTCCAGTATCATATTAGTGAATTGGAAAAGTATTTCAATAAATATTAAAAAGATATAACAGCTTGCAATTTGGTATGTGAATTTTGAATAACATAGTTTGTTAAGTTGAATTTTATTAAATATTCTTCTGTTTCGGACTGTAATTGAACATGTTATAAAATCACTTACATTTTTTAATTAAAAGATAACCTATATATGTTTAAGAGTGTTTTAAAACAAATTTGAGCCTTCCATCACGTCTGGGACTAGATATTATAATTTTTGTAAAACAAATCATTGGTGTCTATGAAATTATAATTTTTGAGGCGGGAGCCTTATGAATTTTTGAAATGAAATTTCATAGTAAGGAACAAAAAAAGAACATGGAACGATTTTTCTTATTCTACCTTCACTTACTTTGTTTTTAAGAAAAGTGAGCAATAAAATATCTTGGGAGTGGGGAGGATAGGTTCTTGCGCCATCGACCTTGGGGAGATGGGCACCCCTACTGATAAATGTCACTTAATTGTTTATTGTAATTATTCTAAGGAGACTAAATGGCCTAGAATAATATTTTCGTTCTATTATTTACAGAAAGTCATTTTCAACCGGCCAAAAAAATTCCTTTTTTTCATGTTTAGTTAATTACAAAAATCATTCATAGTTTATATTGAGTAACTTTTTTATTACTACTGACAATGAGATACAGTTATTTTTTTTTAATCATTTAAAGGTACCTTAGAGCAGAGGTCTCTAAACTTTTTTGCCCTCAGGCCACAGTGATACCTTAAATAAGTTCTTTGGGACCCATTGTCATACTCCCACATAAGTCCTCATGGCCATCCTTGACTGGCGATGAAAAAAAAAAAGCTTGTTCAATAAATGACACCAGCTGTGAAATGAGCTTTCAAAGAGAAGAAAACATGCAATAAATGTTTTAGTAACCTCGTGTGTGAGTATTTGAATAAATTTCATGTTTTTTAAAGTTTTCAATGTAATCAAAGAATCTTTCACTTATTCGATTGAAGGTGCTTGCGAACAGGATGTGGCCTTCTGGCCTATCGAAACGAACCCTGCTTTAGAATAAGAAATTCTGAAAATTCTTCATTTAAGAATTGTTGGCTACATCAGTAATGATAAGACCTAGCATATAATGAAGACCACATAATTGTATAGGTTTTAGCATAACGTGTTTAATAAAAATTGTTAAAACAGTTGTAATAAAATTGTAAAAATATGTTTAAAATAAAATATAACGTGGTACTTATGGTTAACGGATTTTGGGGAAAATTTTTCTGAAATATTTCTAGGTATAATCTTCCTGAATTACTTATTTTTCGTTTTTGATTTAATTTAATTTTTAATTTTGGGATAAGTAGAGAGAAATATTTAAAATGTTGATAGAAGACATCAAGATGTAGTAGGAAATACAATATTTGTGTTTTTAGGTAAGCGAGTTAAGTTTTTTTTTTTGTTGAATAGAAAGTGATAACTAAAAAACTACTTAATTTAAGTAATTATCACTTTCGTCACAATCAACTAAACAAAATTTAATTTAAATTAAAATAGAGTTTATCATTGTTAAAACTTTTCAAAGAGGTCTTTTGAGGGGCTTAACTTTATTTATTTATTTCCACCCTCCCATGCCACAATGGCAATACGGGTGTTTGTAATAGTGTGTTTTAGGCATAATACTTAATAACCCACTACTACTAGATATGCACATATATAGTTCTTCTGTTTTATCTTCTTCCTTCAGCCTAGCTTTCAGAATCTGGAGGTCTTCCTGGCGCTTGTCCTCTTCTTCTGCGAGCACCAATATGGAAGTGAGCGGGCCCCACTGCAGTCTTCCATCCATTTATGAAATCCTTAAACCGCGGGAAATTTTCCTCACTGACTAACTGAGGAAACTCATTTTCAGTGAGGACATAGATTCCCGCGGCTCTTGTCATTGTCGCTCTTAACGTTTCAAATGCGGTGCAGGTCGTGACCACGTGCTCTACAGTTTCCGGAACACTACAGATTGGGCATAGAGGATCTAGCATCAATGCCCAGACAGTGAAGTTTAGCTCGAAATCCTCCATGCCCCGTGAGGAACTGGGAAATCCAGTAGTCCGGAGGACCCACTTTGCCTGAAGCCTCGACTGTACTGTGGGAAAGTACTTCCTCAATGTACTTCCTTTAGGGGTTGTTACCCACCGCCGGTTCCATGCTTCAATTGTATCCTCCCGGAGTATCTTCTTCCACCTATTAGGCGCTTCCATAATCCTCACCTGTAGATTGTCCGAAAGTACTGTAGAGCCTTCTATCTTGTATAGAATATTTCGTCACTTCTTCTAGTAGGAGGAGGTCGAGAGGCACCACCCCCGCTAGAACCTGCACCGCTTCATGCGAAGTTGTCCTATATGCTCTGGTGACCCGAAGCAGAGCTGTCCTCTGAGTCGAGGCTAGCCTTTTTTTTTGTCGTAGTGTGAGGTTACGGAACCAGAAGGGAGACGCATACCTCAGGATACCCTCCACAACTCCTTTATATATCGTGATTGTGGCTGGATACCTAAGGCCCCAGAATCCACCTCCCACGCGAGTTAGACCGTTCATTGCTAGGGCCACCCTATCTGCCATATATTCCAAGTGAGGTGTCACATTTAGGCCTAAACCTAACCTAACTCCTAGGTAGGTTACCACCTCACTTGGACGTATCCTTTGGCCTTCTATATTCATTGTTATAGGGTGTGCCCTGTCAGTCTTGCCCTTGAGGAGGATGGCTTGAGTCTTGGCAGCAGCCATCCTCATTTTCTTCCCCTCACAGCACCTCGCGACCAGGCCAGCGCATCGCTCTGCTTCTGTCTTGACTCCAGCTCTGCTGTTTGAGGCCACCACAGCAGCTAGGTCATCAACATAGGCAGTAGCAGGGAACCGCTCTTCCTCTAACACTCCCAGCAATTCATCGAAGACAAGCTTCCACAGAGCAGGGCCAAGGACTGATCCCTGAGGGCATCCCCTCTCTATGGAAGCTTCTACCTCATAGTGATTCCCTCTGATCTTGACACGCCTGTCATGTAGGTAGCTTCTTACAAGTGAGTATAAATTGCTGGGAACATCGTATTTCTGCAGCTGCTGGAGCACGCTAGGCCACCATACACTGTCGAAGGCGGAAGATATATCAAAAAGCAATAGCATAACATAACGTTCCGCCCTCTCTTCAACATCTTGGCGCACTCTCAGCAGAGCATCAGCGGTCCCTCTGCCTCTAGTTGAACCATATTGCCGTGGATGGCTAGCTCTGTCGAAAAACAGGGCGTAAGCTAGACATCATGAGGTTCTCCAGGACCTTGCTCATCACAGGGAGGAGACATATAGGTCTGTATGAGTTAGGGAGTTGCTTATCTCTATCTCCTCCCTTGTAGAGGAGTCTCAAATCAGCAATCTTCCAACTTCGTGGGAAGTATCCCGTATCTAGACACTGATTGAAAAATCTTAAAATATGATCTTCAATATACGGAATACTGTTCCTTAAGATTGCTGCGTCTATTGCATCAAGACCTGGAGAACGATTCATTTTCCGCCTATCCACGGCAATACGAAGATCGTGAATGTCCCATGGTGGACATAAATCTGACCCGGTCGGATACACCGTGGTACGCCTCACAAAAGCGTAATTTTCACTGTCCTGAGCTGAATCATCCCTGGGGTATATTGCTTCAATGAAAATACTGGCTGTCTCTTCCAGGGTGGTTGCCTGAGTATCTTGATATTTCAAAGCTGCAATAGTTTGCAGCGGGGTCAGCTTACCCAATGCCACCCTGTACGGAATACCCCAGGGATTCTTCGAGGACTCTTGGACGATGAAATCGTCCCAGGACTTTCGTTTTTGTGAGCGAACCTCGTTTCGGTATATCCTGGATTTAGATTTATACTCATTCCGAAGTGCAATGTGCCTCTCGTCACATCTGCGCCTCTGATATTACCGCCGGGCCTTGTAGAGGTCTCTGTTTAGAACAGTTAAGGCTAGCGTCCACCATGGGACCGGTCGAGCTCTCGCTTTCCGGTGCTTCAGAGAGTTTTCGGCAGCGTCTCGAATGATATTGGTGATCCTAGATACCTTGTAATCCAGGTCATTAGCTACGTCCATCTCCATCATATCCCATTCTTCATCTACAATTAATCCTTCCAGACAGCACCTGAAGACACTCCAGTCACTTATTTTCGTAACAAAACCTTTATCAATACCGTGGGAACATCCTGGCTTATCTACCAGGTCGATTGCTATCGCAATGTGGTCGGAACTCGTTTCAGACCTGAGAGTCCAATCTTTGATGTACCTCGTAAGCACAGGCGTGACGATCGTGACATCAATCCAACTCTGCCCCATGACTCCAGAAAAGGTAGGGGTAGCAGAGGGTTCATTCATCACGACAAGGTGATTTCTTGCTATGAAATCTCCCATTTTCGCGCCTCGCCTATCAGTAATATTGGACCCCCAGACCGTGTTCCAGGAGTTGGAATCTGAGCAAACGATCACATTTCTCATCTCTCTAATGATCGTTTCCATAGCGGATATGCTTTCATCAATATCATCACTGACAGGCAGGTATGCCGACACAAGTGTGAAGGTAATCTTACCCCACCTAACATAGCATGATGCATAATCCGCCATGGTATGCTGCCTCAGATCCATCACGTCGAGGTTAGGATTATTGATCTAAGCCCTGGGCCTCCTCTCTCCACTGCTCAGGGCTATAATTCTCGACGTGAGGCCATACCCTGTGACCGTGTTCCCACGGCAGGTCGGTTCCTGAACCGCCATAATGTAATTAAAATTTTCTATCCAGTCACCTAAAAGTACTGGTGTTTTCAGCAAAAATGACTACCATTAACAGCTGCAAAGCTTTTATATGTTGTTTTTCCGTGTTGTGGTATGTATTGTAATAAAAATAATTAATTATTAACTAAAAACGAATTATTTTATAAGAAAAAAACAAATCATTATATAAAAAGAAGTATTTCTTCTTATTATGGTTAAAAATTGGCAATAAGAATAATTATAGTCATATAACAATATAAATTAGCAATACTAAGGGAGAAGGGCAAAGAAGTAGTGTTCATTTGGGACCAATCGCTTTGCGGGATCACCGGCAATGAACAAGCCGATCAATCAGCCAGAAACAACATCCGCGGAATCATTTAATGAAATCCCTCTAGAAGATTACGTAAAAAAATTAAGAAGAATGTGTGCAACATGTGGAAAAACAAGTGGAAACAAACAGAATCGAAATTAAAGGAAATTAAAACCCAATGTTTGAAATGGGAAACCTCTCACCGATCCTCTAGAAAAGAATTGGACATTATGAGTCCTCGCAAGCCGGCAGGATCAAGTACTAAGAGGATTTGATCCTCAGACCTGCTAGAGCTGCTGTGTCCAAAGGACTGTAAAGCATATAATACAAGACTGCCCTATATTTGAAGTTGCAAGGAAAAAATTGGACATGGCACAAAGTCTAAAAGAAAATTTACAAGACAGCGAAAGAGCAGTTAAAAAAATTTCAAGATTCTTAAAAGCGATAAAATTCTACAACAGAGTGTAATTTGTAGGTGTTGCCAATTATCCTAAAGGATAGAGTCAACAAACGAATAAATACATTGGCAATAAGGCGCAATAAATAATATAGATTTTTAAATGAATGAAAAAAAAATTCTAACTGTGTTTAGTTCCGCATATTTTTTGTTGATAAAAAATAATACAATCTGAACCACAGAGTACATACAATTACAGAGATACAATCTGAGCAAGGAGTAATACAATTAAATGAACAGTTGTTTAATTTGTAAAATGGGAGGTTCGTTGACAGGGGGCCTTCCTCTAGTATTACATAAAACAACATTAATAAACAATCACTAATGAGTCCAGAATTTAATTTTGGGACCAAACACCAGTGGCCATAGCAACTGAGGATCTTCTCTCAGCAAATTTTTGAGGTCACTGATCAAAACTGTGTTTTTTAATAGTCCGTGTTACAGACCCCTTTTTATCAAATTATTAACATCCGCCTGAAACTTCGTACATAGCTTTTTCTCATCGGAACCTACAAATATTTTATTACGAAAATTCTCGAAATTGGGACGTTGGTCGGTAAATTTTGTCTACTTAATTAGGTACTAAATACTCGTAAATACCCATTTGCTTTTTGCTTGGATCGTAAGATAATTTGAGCACAAAATCTATAAAAAAAGGTGGCCAACAAAAATATTGGGCTGTTTGGCCTATATAACCTCGTTATTTTGACAATTTGGGAATGTAGGTCACGCCAAACGGCTCAATATTTTAGAAGGCCACGTTTTGTCTCGTCTTTGTGCTCAAGTTATCTTACGATTCAAGTGGAAAGCAAATTAATATTTACGAGTTTTTACTACCTAATTAAGTAGACAAAGTTCACTGATCTGCAGATTGAAAACGCCCCAATGCCGAATATTTTTGTAGATAAAATATTTGTAGGTTACGATGAGATAAAGCTATTTACTAAGCCGGATGTTAATAATTTGATAAAAGGGGCTCTGTACGACGGACTAAAACTATTTGAAGCAGTGAACTTAATAGTTAAAAATTATGTTTGTTTTTCTTTATTTTTTTAAGTGACTGTAATTACAGTACAAGTATAAGTAGTGTTTAAATTACCATTCACATGATAAAATTTGAAGGTAACACCACTCCCTCAATTATATTTCTTTAATTTTTTTCTATTAAAAATTTATGTGAAAACTGTGGATTAAGAACCTTAACCTTATTGAATCCTCTTGTGCAAGTGATGAATACCTTTTGTATTGTATGACTTTCAAATGCCACCTCATTATGATTCTGTATGTGACGCACCGATCGATTGTTTCATTTGAATCACATCTGAAACCAAGTACCAGAAAAATGAAACTGCTGTGAGTCATTAACTTTTTCGTGAAAGAGTTATGAGAATAATTTGTTTTGTCCGGATTGTAAGTTAACATTGCAGTTTATAAAATTATGCCATATTTTTTTTACTTTCCAACCATTGTGTTAAAAAAAAAGAATTGTAATCGAGTAAACTTTTCGATCTGCTGCCACATTCAACAACTTGAGCGCCCAAAAATATCGTCTATGTACGATCAAATAAAATCGGATATTTAACTCATATTTTTTTTTTATGTTGGCAATACTTCTCCTTGATATACATTTCAGATATGGATAAGTAAAAGGAAAAAGTTTTCTTTACGAAGTTATATACAGCTATACTTCGTTGGTATTAAAGAAATGATTTTAGGTAGTCTAGACTTTTTTTTTTTTCTTTGCTTTTTTCTCTAGATTTTGTTCACGATTCTTCCCGGGATTTAAAGTCGTGAGTGAATCTACAGTTCCCCCAAATTGTATTAGAAGGTTGAAGACTTATAAGTGAATCGAGATGGTGTCAAAGAAGGGCTTTTTAGGGGTGTCACTTTCTTTTTTTTCCACAACCGGCTTATTTATAACTTAAAATAATAAAATTATTGTTAAAAATTCATAATCAAAACGTGAGAAAGAAATTCACCTGTTGAATATGTTTTAAAATCCCCTTCGATTCCTTAAGTCAAATATTTTTGAAACGATTAAATCTGATTTTATCTAATCCATCTATGGTGCTCGGCTGCTCACGATTTATTTTATATTTGGTCTTGGCAACATATTTTCACCCCACTTACCTATCACGTATGAGCAATATAACTTCAGATTCTTCGCTTTTTAGGTCCTTAATATAAGCCTTTAAATATAGTGACAATATCACGTAAATATCAGTAAAATTTTAAGACATTTAGCCAAAATATAAAACAATCTTTATCACAAATATTGTATATTTCATGCATTTTCACCATGCTTTTGTTAAATGGTACAACTATGTTGTATTTTACATATCTACCTTTTTATGTCTACCTGATTGGCAGTATCATCCTTATTATTGTTTATTTTAAAAATTCATAGTTACATAATTACATTACAGTCTCATTTGTAATACTAGTACGTTATTAAAATTATTCTTACATAAGTTTAATGAATATGTTCAAAGGTTTAATTTTATTTTTTCTCATCCTCTCGATACCAAGTTCTGATAATATAATAAAAATGTCCTTAATCCTATGTGACGTAAAAAGAACCAAACTATACTGAAAATAACAGTCTAACTTTATATCACAGCAACTGATCTATACAAATAATTATAGTCAAAATAAATCAAGAAAGTGATATTTAAATTTTGAAAAATCAACGAAACAACCCTCACATGAAATCGATAATACATCTCCAGGTTTTCAATCTTATAGCTTATTAGTTCTAGAAAGTTTTTAACTTGGTAAAAATACAAGAATTATCGAAAACCTGCAGATTGAAATGATTCACCCGACACATCAGTCCTATTATTGCTAGCTTGGCGTTTTAGGTTTTACTTTCTTCGGTATCTTCTTCTTGGGGATTGGTTGCTGAAGAGAACACTTTTGGCTTAGCTGTGTCCACCTTTCTTTGACTCGGTGGAGCAGCCTTTCTCTGTAGCGGAAGGCAGTCCTGTCGAGCACAGAGGCCGATTTAATGCAATCGTCGCCGCCGAATTCGCAGACTCGATAATGATTAAGGATCGCGGCGTCTGATGGCACATTGACGGTACCATGCCCTGGTACGAACTCCCAGACGAAGTGGTTGCCAGCTTCGATCACGTACTCTGGCCGGCAGATGTACTTTGACCTCTGCTTATGAGGATGGAGTTTCGCCCTTCTTCTCGTTTTCGTCATTGATATGAGGCTGTTTTCGAAAGGATCTTCAGAAAGAGATTCATCGTCGGGCCATTGCAGATAAAAGAACGCGTTTTGGAAGGAGTAGGAGCCTGTAGACTTCGTATTAAGACGTGTACCCATCCACCTGTTGGAATAAATACAGAACTGATTACTTTGAAAACAAATGGTTAAAATTAATTGTTGAGAGTACTTATTGAGAATGATTTTTTAAAGCTGATCAATTTTGAGCTACCTTAACCTACTGTCGGCACCTATTTAATTTATTTATTTATTTTTTCTTAATGGCATTGGATAAATACAAACAGCAAGCTAAAGTCGGCACCATGTTAAAGTAACTAATATCACATGTATATACATAAACTTAAATATATACGAGCATCCTTCAAATATAAAAAGAGAAAAGCAATGCCCATGAAATATCTTGTGTTCAGTACGATTTAGGAAAAGCACTGTTTCTTCGTCAACAGTTGTGCAAGGGAGTGATTTGACCGAGATCGTCTCCACAGCCAGGTCTTCCCCTTTAATTGATTGTTTAATTAATGTTACCCACTTTATAGAGGCTGGATATGGCCCATGAAGGTCTGCCGACCCAGCGTCGTCCCACGGCCAATGAAACAGAAAAAATGTTTTTTTTTTCTGCCATGAGCCGGGATTCGAACCTAGGACCGATCTTGAGCATTGAAAGTTCAGTAGCCTACCACTGAATTACTCCACTCTCCCAAGATAATAATGACTTACCAAAAATACGACATTTTTACAATCGAACCGAAAGGGATTTTGTGCAATAAACTCCCGAATTTTCAGTAAAACCCTTATCTTCTAAGCCCTATTTCCATAGTGTAAACTGGAGATGGGATATCGAAGGCCCAATATTGCCATCGATATTAATATCGGCATATAACTATCGATACCATCAAAGTACCGCACTTGAAATATCGATAATCGATATTTTCATCGATATCATAAACATTTTCAAAATATTTATAACAATATAAATATTGATTCTCTTGCACATAGTTGCAGCAAAAAAGTTGCTATTTTCCTTTTGAAATTAATTTTTTAGTTCCTGTCCATTTGCGTCACCCTCAACTTTTTCCAGAAATTTCCATTCAACCAGTTTTGCTTTCCATTCACTCTTAAATTGGATTCAGCGAAATGATAATTTATTTGCATCCTGAATAGATTTCTTTGACAATTTGCTGCCTTGGTTTGAAAAGGTTCTAATAAATTTGGGCAAACTGAGGTTCCTTCACTAGGAATGGCCATCAATAGGATATATTATCGAGATATTGATATTTTCTTCAGCTACGCACTACATACTGTACGAAACGATGAGTATGTTTTTTTGTTGCTAACGATCAGATTCATCTATAATTCTTCGCCCTTCCCGAAAATGATAGTTTTAATTATAATATAAAAATATCGAAGGGATAAAATCGATAGTTGATAATATCCAAGTAGATACTACCGATGGTAAAATAGCGACTATCGTATAGAAAATATCTATATTTTGATTATATCGACTATCGATGGTTACCTGAACATGATACATCTGTTTTTCGTATAAGGTCGATGTTTTAGTGTTTTTCAGATAAAAAGCGTACACTCTTGGTGCCAGGGTCTAAATAAAGTATTTTTTAATATTTGGTCATGTTTTGCTATTATCTGACCATCCAGCTTCGATAAAATTCTAATTATAATGAAATGAAGTCAAATGATAATCCGCCATGTTTGGACGCCATTTTGGGACAATACGTTCACTTTTTTTGGAGAACATTGTTGTTTTGTTTTTTTTAAATTCATAGTTGAAAGGAACACAACGATTGACAATTTATAGGAATGTAGGGAAATGAACAGCAGGGGGGCCAGGCCCACCGGCAGTGCTGCCCAAAATCCTTCTTGATCTTGCACTTTGCAAGAACAAGACCAAGACCGCCTGACTGTTGCAAGACTAAGACTGAAAAAAAAATCTTTTTTTGGAATAAAAATTATATCAAAATATTTACTAATACTTGACAATTTTAGTTACATTATCTAAAGAGCTAGTAAAACCAATATACTTTTTCATTTAACTCTTCCAATTTTTCATTCGGGCTTAGTTAGCTTTCCTCTATCTGAAAAATTACAGTAATATCTCTACAGTAACAGACTAATTGGTAACTGCGAGACTCTTGCGCAAGGCCAAGACCAAGACTCGTCTTGGTCTCGTATTTGAGCAACACTACCCTCCGTGTTTGCCATGTTTTAGGCCAAATTTCACCCAAAATCCACCTGTTCTGAATAGCGAGAGCTGAAAATCCGAAATCTACTCGATAAGGACTATTGATTAAAGGTATTGGCAGGTACATGCTCGTCCGTTCAATAAAAGTGCCATTGGTTTCTAGTCTATTTCTCAAATGATGACTAATTTAAAGAAGAATCAGTTAAGGATCGAAAGGTTTATGTCGTGAAAATGTGAGAAATTTTCTTTTTAATTGTTATGTATGGAAGAAAGTAACTAAAAAACAAAGAGGCAAAAAAGCATGAATTTTAGATAATCAAACGAAAAACGTACGCTTTTAGAAATTAAAGAAAGTTAATTTATGCGCCGAATAAGTACCAACTTCTATTAATTTGGTCAAGTGGTAAAAGTAGTTCTAGCATGACAAACTCGTCCTCGGCTGGGGATCGTGATGTTACTTTTCTACTCTTTCACGTCCCACAGAGAATTTTGTTTAAATGAAACACTCTTGTCAATGAAAGAGTGTTTCATTCAAACTATGATCGCAATCTCTGCAGAATATCAATAGGTCTCTCTCTCTTTAAAAAAAACATAGCAGGGATAACCTTCTCGTGCCCAAGATGGATGAAGCTCCCTCCCCACCCTCCCTCCTCTTAAAATATTATATTGTTCTCCACTTCTTATAAATAGTGCAAGCTAAAATATCATTTAAATATCATTGGTCATATATTGTAACTGATTTACAGTAGTTTTTCTTTGCTTTCCTCTTGTCGCCTGGTCTAAAATTTTATTTCGAAAAACTCCGTCAAAATGAGCTCCCCTCAAATATGTTAATGGAGCAACTTGCGTCATGATACACCCTTCTGGACACTCATGAAATGTATGCGTTGCTAACCTGACATAAGCATTTTCTTCTCATGTTTGTAACTACTCTCTTACTCGCTAGGAGTTTTCAGTGGCCGGTCTCACGGTCCTCGAACATTGAAGGTTAAAATTTTTATCTTGAAACTGTCGGGAAATTAATGCTAAATTTAAACCAATTCCGGAGCATGGTAACTACTTACTCCATGAACTGCTGAATGGTGTCATTGTGCCTCGGCATAACGATCTCATCCAAGTCTAAGAGGGCCACGTGGCTGAACTTGTACATGCTCCTGTAGAGACAGTCGTTCAGCGCCGCGAAGAGGCCTTCCGTTCGGATCTCCCTCTGGGAAGCCATGTCCAGTCTCCAGGGCAACACGGTCACCTTACCTAAAATAAAGATTACAATGCAAATTGATTTATTTTAATTAGTTAATGACTACATCATAAGGCAACGTTTGTAATAATTTAATTAAATAGATAAATGTAAAATTTTATTAATGTTATAACAGATTTATAAGATACAAATATTACTGACAGGATAAATTTGATACCTACTAGTATATCAAGCAAATATGGCTTCAAGGAATATATATCATATCAATGAGGACAGAACGAAACCAAGCAAGAAAGTATATGAATTTCATAACTAGTAAAAATAAAATAAAAGTAAATTACAATTCTAAAATAAATAATAAAAGAGTGTAATAACACAAAAGTATAATATAACACAGCAAGTAGCTCAATCCAGTAAGTCTCTTTGCCAGCACCTCAGCAACTTTTGAGCGGATCATATACATTTGTAGCAACAGATAAAGCTTGAGGAAGTGAATTTAATTTTTTTTTATTTTTATGTCTTTGGTGTTTCCTATAACTCGATTTAAATTCAAGTTCAAACTGGTTTAATGAGGAATATGTAAATAGTTAATTTATTAGTCTCCGATAATTTCAAATATCTGTCAAGTTGATTCGAAAGAAGTCCATGTTTCTGATTAAGTTATTTTCTTTATGTTTTATGTGGTATGTTCATTCCAATCGTTTGTCCAAGCAGAGACATTAATATTATACTATTTTTGAATTATATTGTTCTATTATTTAGCGTTTTTTTTGCAATAAACCGACAAAACAAGATAATTATTTTATGGTATCGAGAAGTGGGGAACATCAAATATAAAAATAATTCCATCGTTCCAGTCAAAAGCGAAAAATTGTGAACACAACCTTCTATGCTTTTGAAGTGTAATAATAATTATATTGTTTTGTCGGTTTGTTTAAAAAAAGTTACTAAATGCACTATTAAAGTGATTAAAATTAAATATTCCTCAGAGTAATTACATTTTGATCCACTGCGGTTTTCCATTGTTATACTCTATATATATCCTATTTTTTTTCTTTTGTAATTTTTATTGATCCTCTCTCGTAATTTCACCGGGAGCCATCTTTCTTAATCTTGTGATGGAAGTAGCCTTCTCGCAGAAGGAGATCAAGAGATGTTTTCTCCTGTTAAGACATTCACCACCCTAATGAGTCACTGTATTGTATTAACTGGTTATTCTATGCAGAACCGTTCGATAGGCACCGGTCTGTTTATGGAGACAATAAAATGTCGATGCTTGTAATAATTTAAAAAATGATGAAACAAAAAATTGTTTTACCAAAAATTTTATGCTTAAATGATTCTCTGATGAAATCAGAATTAAAAAAAATAAAATAATAATAATAAATAAAAACTTACCAATAATTCTTTACCTTGAAGATTTTTTTTTTCGGAAGTTCTTAAATCATCAATAAAGTTTGGTTACGACGATTTATTATATATCTGTAATAGTTGAAAATTGAAGAAAAAAGTGGACGAAGAGTATAATTAACATTATTAAATTCTTAGACAACTTAATTTAAATTATCTGTATTTATTATAAGGCCGATCCGATGTTTTATCGAATTGCAATAATTTATCGTCTGTGGAACAAATATAATAAGTATTTGTTTAATAAATATAATAATAACAAACGTTTTCTGTCTTATTGTATATCGGTATGACTGAGTTTTTATATTTTTAATTTACTTATCTTTAGCTTATTTTATTTTTTATTGTATGTTTGATTATTATTTTACTTTTGTTAATTTTATGTTTTCTGTATATATGGTGTAAATGTGTTCATATCTCACTATAGTTATTCTCCACGTGATAGATTATTATATTCCTAAGTAAATAAAATAAATAAATAATTTTAAAATGCATTTGCACCGGTTTTAAGAAGAGTACATTTTCTTGGAAAGGGGGTGGGATATACGCTATTGGATTTAAGCGAGGGAATTGGAACTCCAGAAATTAGAAATAGAATATATTTCTAGTAGTCAACAGACAAAGCCAGATTTATAAACGAAGGGATAACGAGCTAGAGGACGAGGTAATCGAGCAACCTTATATAAGACAACTAGATAAAAATAATTACCAGTTCACGTCCTGGTGCCGGGAGGGAAGGGAGGGGGAGCTGTTAACTCTGGTATTAATCCCCGCCCTAACCCCTAACCTGGAAAAATTCCCGTATAATCTGAAAGGGGAGGACGAAAAAAATAAAATAAAGCTAGTTAACAGATGTTATTGTTAAAAATAAATGATTGCAATAATTATTGTAAATGATAAATAATTGGTAATTGGTTGACTGTCGTGGATAATGAAGAGAAGAATAGTTGGGGTGGTCAGTCAAAAAGGAAGGCAAAAATAAATGATAATACTTATTTTTACCATTTCTACTTATGTTTCTCATACCTTGTTATCTGGTTATTTTCTTAGCCCTGATGAAGGCCTGAACTTCAGGTCGAAACGTAGGTATATGTAAAAATAAATATTATCATTTATTTTTGCCTTCCTTTCTGACTGACCACCCCAACTATTCTTCTCTTCATTATTGTAAATGGTTGTAAAAAATAAATTAAAATGATTGATATTGTAACTCAAGAAACTCAGTATATCAGTGTAAAACTAAGTAGTTTTAAATATTCTGTAGGTTTTATTCTCAATGATGTTGTCTAACAGAGCTCAAATAGCCAATTTTCAATATTAGCTTCCTGTAAAGTATCTTTCATTTTGTTTTATTTGAAACAATTAACCATTTCAAATTAATCTCTAATATAAAAAAATAGTTAAATATAAAATATGAAACAATTTGATACTTAACTAAAGGAGAAATAAGAGATCGTAACAGAGAATAGTTGTAATGAAGGAACCAAAGGGATACGAGAGCGCCCCCTAGCTCGCTCTAAGATAAGAACAGGCTTCCACAGTAACATGAGCTTAATATAATACGGACTCCGATAAAATTATCTACATATACATATGCGGTTTTCCTAAATGTTTTCGTTGGTATTATTTAATATTTAATAGTATAGATTACAGAAATATAAATATTAAAATTTGTACATATAAGGGTACTTAAACAAATAAAAATATACACAATAAAATATGAATCAATATTGCTTTTATAATTTTTACTTTCACTTCCCCTATTTCTGAAAATACTTATTTCTGCTAAGAAGAGTAAGTGAAAGTTGTATGATACGCGCACCACACCAGATGTATTAATAAAGGTATTTGATTTCTTTTCAATTATGAAACTTTTGTTCTCTATTTAATGGGGCATATATTGATGAATATGAAATAATTGCTTGTAAAATGAATACCGACATCGTTTTCAAAGCAATGTACTTACACCGACCACATCCCTCTGGCCACGTGGCTGGAACTCAATAAACTCTGGAAGTCATTAGGGATTACGCAGCGTTGGGTATAGAACGAGTTCCCACTTCCCCTTAGGGGATCTACTTCTCAGTTCTGTTTCCTGGGGGAGGGAGGGAGGGAGGAGAGGGAGGTTAAGGAAAAGGAAACCTGGATACCCGTTCGTCTAGTGTGATTCCAAAGGATTCATTATCATCAGCCGCTGCATATTCTAATCTGTTAGAAATTAGTTTTACATCGAAACTTTAAATCATATGAAACAATGGATTTAACTATGTTAAAGTCAGTGGTACAAAAACTTTTTTTATTAAATTACTAACATCCGTCTAAAACTTCGTGATTGACTTAATCTTATCAAAATGTACATGTTTTTAGTTTACTAAAATTCTTGAATATAGGACTTCTTTTCTTAAATTTTTAATCTAAATAACGGTAAACTTTGTCTACTTAATGCGGTACTAAAAACTAATGAACACCTATTTGCTTTCCAAGGATGCCAGAAGAGGGTTTCTTGGCGTAAGCCACGCCATAAAAATTTTTAAGCGGGGCACATTTTGATTGGCTTTTGAACTGTTGAGGAGAGCGAATTTCAACGGGGTTGTGAATTTTCGGATTGAAAGTTTCAAATCAGAGTACAAGAGGAAAACACGTAACAGACCTCAGCAAGTGTAATTGTATATGATCTACGATTTTTTAAATTTTACTTTAGATTGCACTGTTTTCAAGAAGAGGAGAGCAGTAAAATCTCTCGGAAGGAGTGGAGAGAGAGGTTCCTGCGCAATACACCTTGGAGGGCATGGGAACCCCCGTTGCTTTCCACTTAAATTGTAAATTAATTGAATCACCAAATCGAAAACAAGGCGATCTATTTACATAGTGGACCATTTGTCTTAATATATGTCCTCAAAATAAACAGGTTTTATAGGCAAACAGACCGATATTTTTGTATACCACATTTTTTTTTCTACTTTGTGATCAATTTATTTTACAATTTAAGTTGAAAACAAATAGGTATTCATGAGTTTTTTTTATAAATTACAAAATCTATTTAATGAGAAACCGAGCCATTCCTGAGAATTTTTGTAGATAAAAAGTTGCAAGTTACGATAAGATGAACCCTTCGCGAAGTTTTAGACGGATGTTAAAAGGTTTGTAAAAAAAGAAATCCGTAATGCAGGTTATTTGATATTGTAACTACAGGTTAATGATTTTCCCTGTAGAGTGCGTCTTTCCATAAGAGGTCGTGTGAATAACTAAAACATAATTGTGAAATAATGTATCCTGCTACAAAAGCAGAACTTCCTTTGAAATTGATGTTCATTCAACACAAATATTGCGTTTCATAGCTCCGCAAACTTATTAAAACAGTTACAAACTTCTGAAATTAATCTTTGCTCACTACACATAACAGACCTTTTTGAACAAAGGCTTTGAAACTCATCAACGGGTTTAAAATTAGAAGTGCTAAACTAGGAAATTCTAAAACGTTCAGAATTTCTTTCAAGCTTTCTCAAAATTTTAATATTTTTAAATTAATTATATAATATCCAATATTGTATTGGATGATATATATATGGAAAAATAAATATCATCATGAATATGAATATATTTGAGGCCAAAGCGAACTTTGTTCACCACAGTTAACTTGCTTTAAATCTGTAGAGGTCATGGAAAACAGTGATACTAAACGAAAAAATTGAATTTGGACACTATTTGTGTCCATACTAAAAATATTTTGGTTTCCTATTTTTGAACAATAGGAATATTTTCAATCGGCAAGATTCTTTTTAATTTTAAAAATAAAGTAATATTGTAATTCTGAATATTGCACTATTCAACTGGGCAATCCTAGTTCTTGTTAAAAGGCCTTAAAACGTTCAATTTTATGATTTTATGTTAGAATAACCATTGTTGTAAAACTAGAGTTCATCAGAACAGTGAGTTAAAATTTATAAATTTCTTAGAACTTCACATCCAAGATAAGGATTAATAGGTACTACTATAGGTCAGGAATATTTGTCTGTCAACAAACTTGGTTGATTACTTCCATAATCTCGTTCTGAACCATATAAAGTCCCTTTTGATATGACAAGTATAGAAAATTGAGATATTATCTTAAAACTGACTTTATACGTCTTGAAGTTGATGGTTTATGTTTAGTAGTTTAAACATTATTTTTCTAAACAAGTTGAGATCTGTTACACTTTATGTCAATTGAAAATTGATAATCCATGGTAAAAAATCTTTAATTTTTTTTTTTTTTTTTGTTTAAGTTTCTAGGATTTCACTTTTGTTCATTTTTTTATAGGTCCATTTTAACAGTTTTCATGTAATCTTTTAGGATAAAAATTTCTGAAAATAAAATTCCTAAGGAATTTTATTATAATACAATTTCATGATTATTGTAACAGTTTAACTTTTCTTTATCTAAGTTCCTAAAAAACGTTACGTTAGATTCAAAATTAACAGTAGCTCTGCTTAGATTAGAGTTGTAATTTATCTTAAATGAATCACTCGTTTATTATGTATCGTTTGTTTGAGGAGCTAAGAATAAAGGTCCTCTAGATGGGCTTTGTGGCGAAATCAACAGAATTTTAAAATAAAAGTTCTGTAAAATCATTCATATTCTGTAAAAAGTTCCAGTTCCTAATTAATAGAAAAAAATCGGTCCAGTAGTTTCGAAGAAAATGCGCCGACGGCGGACGGCGTACGGCGTACGGACAAAAATTTTTTTATTTTTTGTTTTCGAATTCTACGTATCCGGAAACGTAAAATCTCAAATTTTGAGAGAGGGTTAAGTTTTTGAATTTTTTGTTCGATGACAATGGTTGATTATTGAAAATAATTAACCAAACATATATTAAAATCGCAATATCTTCACAAATAGTGCGATTTCAATTAGATTTAAACATCAACCTTTGAAACATATCGGCAGAAAAGTGTACACCTTTTGAGTTATTCGGAATATAATTTTACCATCCCTCGTAAATTTGTTCTCAGCTTCTTTTCGTTGAAGTATATTATATAAATAAATTTAAAGGCCATCAAGAATAACACTTTAGCTAAGTTTCATTGAAATCGGTACATTCGTTAAGTGCTACAGTCTATAGCAACGCTGGTTTTTCGGCCGCCATTTTCAAAGTAAAATGCGGATAGTAATGTCGATGAAGGAGGATAATCCTCGGGTGACCTCTGACTTCAAATCCAAATTTGTAAATATAAATTACAGATTCCAGTCATACTAGTATGATTAAAAATAAAAGTTAAAATATCATTTTAAGCCCTAAAGGTAAGAAGACTTTTACTTAGTAGGTAAAAAGAACTGTAAGTTAAGATAAGATGTGCTGTACAATAATAAGACTTGTACTGTACACGGGCAGACAAGGTTTTGGGCGTCCTTGGGCAACAAATCCTACTGAGAAACGTTTGTGGTGTACAAGATCCTCAGAAACCACAACCAATCAGCCGTAGAGACCATTCAGGCCCAATTAACTTCCTTCCACGAAAATGTTTTAGTGTGAAAACGGCTTCATTCTCCTAAAGCAAGGCTTCAATCCGAGATGCCAATTAACAGATCGCTGTTAACACCAGTTTTTCGGAGATCCCCCTTGAATTTTGCTCAAGCAAACAAATTGGACAGAGTGTAGTTGGATACTAGGATAACTATATGCGCAATGCAAATTAACTCTATATGTTTAAAATACTGGAGTTTGTGTTATGATTATGTTGTGGGATGGTCTGACATTAAAGCTCAAAACCGAAGTTCATGAATTTATTGAGACATAGAGATTTAATTCAGAACAATATAATTTTTATACTGGATAGCGCACACCCGCAAATACCGTGTATAACACCTATTCTTCCTCATGACAAAAATAGATCGTTTCGCAAAAAAAAATCACCATCAGTCAAATTTTGAATCCAATCATTAGCATAAGGCAATGAAAAAAAAGGCTATTGACATTTCCAACGAACTGGTGTAAGATATACCAGATGCATCTTTCAAAAGTTCTTGTCGATTTTCGGAGCGAAACTAAGAAATGTGTTAGTAATGTATCAATAATTCATGTTATTTCGGTACAAACTTGCATATAGTCAGAAAAACAAAAAAAAAATCTAAACATATTCAACATCCTTGTTCCTGAGTTTAGTGTTTTGTTTTTATTATTAAAAAATATTTTATTTGATTTGGAACTAATTAATGATAATTGTTATTTTTTATCTATTTAATTTACACAGGCTTAATAAAGACTATATTTTAAAATTATAAAGAGAAGGTAACACCTGATGGTCTTTTCAAACCAACCTGGATGGACGAACTGGATAGAAACTTTAATTTTTGGAGGCCTATTGAATATTGATGAGGCACTCACCCTCTGCTATGTAGTGCTGCAGGATGCAGTCTATCTGCGGGCTCATCGTGTCATTGTAGAATGTTATGTGATCCATTCCCAGCAGGCTGTTCAATTCGATGAACTCCAGCATTCTAAGCGACTGAAATAAATAAATAAATATCTATGAGTGATTTTTCATCATGAATCATTATATCAATGTCGTTACAAAGAAAAAAAGGAAAAAAAAAATATAGAAAAGTTTGTTATACTTAATTTAAAAAACAAACTGTATTTTTGATAAAATAAATACAACTTTTTATCAAATGGACTTGTTAGCAAAATGGTCTGTGTGGAGCTGAAAAAAGGACAGTCTTAAGAACTAAAATTACCTCAATTTAGTTACGTATTGTATATATGTGTTCTTTTTATTAATTTATTTTTAGGTTATTTTATTCTTATTTATTGTGCATAGAGTTTGAATGTGATCTGTGAACAATATTATAAATGTCCTTGAGACAGATTGTAATATTTTTCAATAAATAAGCTAAAAAAATATTTTAAAATACAGTCTGAGTTTTTAATGGCCAAACTGTGGAAGGGTGATTATTGACAAAATTTCCAACAAAAATGTTCATTTGATGCATGAGATGATCCCTAACGGAAACATTTTTTTTTTTAAATATTAATTCAAGATATTTACAACTGTATTACAATATAAATACATCAAGTAAATTTGTACTCAGGAATATAATCACTTGAAAACGCTTGTTGAGAAGTTAGTAACTGGTAGCACTCTGATAATACGTCTATATAAGGAGATCAAGAGGCCATCTTCTTTTCAGACTCCTCGGATGGTTTATCAGGAATCGAAGAGGAAGCAATGTTAGAAACGAAAGGATTCGGATGGTTATGAAGTTTATTATGGAAGTATAGGTATCTGGATTGGGCCGAGTCGGAAACATAGGGAACATTAAGGCCATTATGGATTATTTTATTTTTGACAAAGTAAGGAGCATTGAGGATTTTGGATTGTAAGTAGAAAAGGGGTTAAGACCAATTTTGTGTGGTCACGTCTTTTTATTGAATAAGAAGACATTGCTCAAAAATTGTTCAAGATAATTAAATTATAAGAACACCATCGTAAGGTAGACAACATTTTTTTTGAGAAAACAGTAATTAAATTTACTAAGGGCAATGATGAAAGGGGCTTTGAGGAGGTCTAATACGGCCGCTGTGTAAAGGTATGCTGCTCCTTTGTGAGTACTGTGACAGCAGCAGTAAATACAAAAAAATGTATTTCTCCTCTAATTAATTATGAGATGCTTTCATTGTTTAAATGTATCAATTTCTATTACTCCTAACAGTTTCAGACATTTTTTTTTTTTTTTAACACAAATAAAAGTAAATGCACTTTAGGGATAATAATGTTGAAAATACGACATTTAATCCATTTGAGGCTATTTCAATGAGAGTATGGCCTGACAGATATTGAAGAGTATTTAATTGCACATTCGTTACGGTGATTCGTTATAGTCGTAATTGTAAAATTGTAAAAAGTGAAAAATCAATTATAAGCAAAATTCTGGTTGGTGGGTGAGATTCTAGACAAAAATCCAGCAAAAACGTTCGTTTGATTTTTATTGAACAAGAGAAAATTTCTGAAAAACTGTTCAAGAAAATTAAATCTTAAGTACACCATAGGCAATTTTTTTTTTTTTTAAACAGTGATTAAATTTACTAAGGTAATTGATAAAAGGGACTTTCAGGAGGTCTAATACAGGTATACAGGTCTAATATGGGTGTACAGCCATATTAGTGTTGCCCAAAATCGGTCTTGGTCTTGTACTTTGCAGACCGCCTAAGTGTTGCAAGACCTGGACCAGGACTGGTCAAATTTTTTTTTTTTAAAAAGAAGGTTTTAAAAATAAAAATTAGGGCAAAATAGTTACTAATACTTGACAACCTTGGTTACTATATGTTAATAATTGGTATAACCAATATACTTTTGCATTTAAGTTCTCTAATTTTTCATTCGGGATTAGTTGGTTTCTCATATTTAAAAAATTACAGTAATATCTCTATAATAATAAGCTAATAAGTAACTGCAAGACTGCTGCGAGACTCTTGTGCAAGACCAAGACCTTGGCTAAGACTTAGTTTGCAAGACCAAGACTCGTCTAGGTCTCGCATTCGGAGAACATATACACGAGCAGCATACCATTCCACAGTGGTCGTGTTAGACCTCCTGAAAGTCCCTTTTATCATTGACCTTAGTAAGTTTCATCATTGATATAAAAAAAAAAAAAAAAAATTGTCTACCTTACGATGGTGTTCTTAAAACCGTTTTTGAGCAATGCCTTCTCACTAAATAAAAAACGTGACCACACAACATTGGTCTTAACTCTTTTTTCGTTCGGAATCGGTCCTATTAACTAGTTTCGATATTATGTCTCTTGGTAATTTATAATCGTTCACATTAATAAAAGCATAGTAATTATATAATATGTGTAGTTGGTTAATATTTATATTTAAAGTAATATTCCTTAAGTTTATTAATTTATTTTAAATTAATTTCTATTGAAAATAGGATGTGAAAAGTTAAAGTTGTGTTTTTTGTTATACTTTTATTTTTTGTTGTTTTATATTTTTTCTTCTTTTCAATCAAACATAATTCTCCCGACTTACAGTCTCTATTGAAATATCTCACTAAATATACAGGTATATACATCCGTTTTAGTTTATTTCAATTAATGTTAACATATATTGTAATTTTGAAATTGATATTTGTATTACCTGGTTGTAGTAAAAATGGATTGGCTTGACGCAGACTTCGATCTTCCCAGGGGGTGAAGTAGGGGTCGGCTTGAGACTTGGGTAGTAGTGGTTGACCACGAGCCTGTTGGCTGGAGTGGGACTTAACCTGGTGACAATGGAGACGGACTTTGGCGGGGACAGGTCGGGCTGCAGGGGGCACAGGATGAAGCAGGCGCTGTACTTCAAGTTCCAGTTCTCTCGGATTGCCTGCGACATTAACAACATTCACTAATACCTCTTATTTCTTCCTTCCATCTATGAGTACATTTCAATCGGATATGGTGATTAGATTATGTATGTAAGATTTCATAAAATTTAATTTCATATATTTTTAGACAAACGTTGAAACTTATTAAAAAGCTCTATTTTATAACAGTTTCTATGAAACTTTTTTAAAAGCTCTATTTTAACAGTTTCTTAGAAACTTTTTAGGAATTAGATTTGTAAGAAACTTTTTTATTAAAAGTTCTTTGCTTATAGTAAAAGTTAAACTTTTCCTCATTTAAGTTCTTAAAAAAATGATTTAAAAAAAAGTATGGAACTGGAAGTAGAAGGAAGAAGGAAACAGAGAATAAATGTAGTTAAAATTTAAAGACGAAGTGGAAGCAAACTTGGCGGGACATGTTGCCCTGGAGCTAGAACGTCTGAATGTAAATTACGAAAGTGTGTGTTATTCTGAGTAATATCAACCTTGTTAGTCATTCTAGAGCCGCGGATTTAAAAAATGGCGGCTGCTTTAAGGAATATTAGGCTCGTAATTTGAGGATCGAAAGGGGAAATATATTATGAAAAATGTAGAAAAAGGTTTTATTTGTTCAACTTGGATATATGGGTTTAACACCCATTTGAAAAACAAAATAGCTAACGCAGGCCAACAAGGAAAATTTGTTATAAATTAGCATTGATTTTCTACCATTCTACTAAATTATTAAGTTTAGGTATTCGTTAGATGCACTACTTAACGTTCTTTAATTAATTAAAGTGCACGTTTTTCGCTTCGATGCACCGTTGTATTTAAAAAGTCAAAGGTGAAAAAAAAATTGAAAAATCTGCCTTTTTTGGCTGTAAAAAGTTTTACTTGCTAGTCCGAGTTAGCAATTTTGTTTTTTACATGTTTAAAACCATATATACAAGTTCAAAAAATTAGCATTGATATAAAAATCTGTTTGAAAGCAGCGGCTCTGGAATGGCATAAAAGGTTCATTTTACTTACAGTTACATACACTTTTGTAATTTATATTCATGCCTATGATTTATATAATTGACCTATGATCTATTTGATTTTCAGGCCCTGGCTCCTGAGTGGGATTGGAAATTCCAGTTCTAATAAATTGGAAGAAAAAGAGAGACTTAAAAAGAGCAAGTCTTGGACCAATAGGTTTAAAAACATGTTTTAAATGACATTAAGACGGAGGAAAACCACAGCAATAGAAAATTCTTTAATAAAAAAAAATTACGTTAGATGAAAAAAAAAAATACTTAGACTAATGTTAGATTACAGAAATAATTATTTTGAATAGAGTTCATTAATTCTCATATTAAAAATGCATGCACTATTGCTATTTCCTGAATGACTTTTTGGCAAAATGAATTTGTTCAACAGACTTTTATTTTAAAATGAAAGTTCTGTAAAACCTTTACGCGTAAAGTTACATGAGAAAAATTTCTAGTTCCGAAAAAATCTAAAATAAATTTAAATAAAGATACTAGATATGCTGTGCTAGATAAATTTCAGACGGTTCCTTCCAAAACGTGTAAATAAACCTAAAGAAAAAATTACTATCAAGTTTCTTTCTGCACCTCAAGTATTGCGACTTTTTTCTAAGAAATTAGCTCATAGTTTTATAATTACCAGATTTGGCATAATGCATCGAAATCAAAAATATTTATAATATATATAAATAAATTAAAATAATTATAAAACTGTAAATTAATAGACTTTCGACCTGATAATCCTAATTCAAATCGACCTAAATAAATATTTTCCATTTTTCAATTATCTAATTCTTGCATAAGTTATTTTTAGCATTTATTTCTTACATCGGACAACAACAGATAATTAATTATTTAAAATAAACCAATAAAAGGCACTTTAGAAGAATAGATGTTGAACATTGGGGATTTAAACCTTGTAATATGACATTAATAAGAACAAGACCTAAATACTATTAAATACCAATTATTTATAGAATGATCGACCTAGTTTAATCAAAATCGTTTGAGCCGTTTTCGAAAAAATGTGTAAAATTGATAACATAAAGTGCCACCTCCGGTTAGTCGATTTTGACAAAAATGTTACTGTATCATCCCAGGCATATACAGATTTTTAATACGCAATTTCACTTTCTTAGGACTTTTATCTTTTGAGGTAGATTGATAACATACTCAAAAGGTAATACGGACTTCCAATATTTTACTGCTAACAGAAAACTGCTCTATACTGAATAATATTCCAGCATGCTACATTTTATAATATATATAAATCTGCTATTAATGTATTGTTTATCTAATGATATATGTAGAACGTTTCGTCAGATAGGCTTTTATCTATTGTCTATTAAGGTCGATACTCCGCCAATTGTCACCAGATTTTCTTCTCTGACAGAAATGATATAGGCTATACATATCTTCTAATGATAAAACTAGATGCAGTAATCTTTCTGACTTACTTTTATTTTACCAGGTACAGTTATCCCGTGCGTGCTGTTGGCTTTAGAGTACCAGAAAAGACACCAGACGCGGTCTGGTCCTCTCGTCTTCGTAGCTGCCATAATTCTTACCATCCGAGTACCACGCCAATCGTAATAGGCAGAAAAAACGAAGAACTTGTACCTAATACAAAAAATAATAATGAAAACTATATTTCTGTAAGTTTTAAATATAATACTAACCATAGATTTACTTATAAAGAAAAAAAGATACTTGTTACAATAGGAACATTTACATGAAAAAAACTTCCTAACATCATAAAACAAATCACAACGACAATGAACCATAATGAATAAAAACTATTGAAGACCAATGCTACATGTGTAGAAGAAGGGAGGATAAATTAACAATGCCTATGGCTAATTGATATTTTAAATCTTCCTGAAAACACTTTTTTATGTAACCTTTTTATTATTTTATGTTTTAATAATTTTATTATTACTCCATTAGTTGATATATTTCAGTTTTGTAGTGTTTTAATTTTATTATTCGAAAATAAATTTTCTTTGAGTTTGTTACATTTGTTTGTTTTGTTTTTCTTTCTTCCTCCAGAACTCTAGCATTTGACTCAAATTGTTAGACTGAATTGGATTCTAACTAAATATTTAAAGCCACAAATTCTGAATAATTGATACCAAAATTCGAATTACGATTATTATACTCATGCTTAATATTTGAATTTAGACTCAAAAGGAATAGAATTTTAGTTGATTTTTAAAAAACTTTAATATAAGGTAATCGAAAAGGATCTAGTTGAATTAGAATAAGAAAAAAGGCAGAAGGAAATGAGAAGATTACATCAGATAGAACTCAGTTCCTTAAAGAGTGATCTGAATAAACAATTTTCTTTTTTTTTTTTGTTATATCTGACTTTATTTAAAATTGAAAGAAAGGCAAACGAGTTTTTCTAATAGATCTTAGTTGTATGTACGTTTTTCAAATATAAATATAAATAAATCAACTGATTTTAGTTCCAAACATTTGTTTATCTTCATTCTAGTTTTAAAAATTAATAATAAATTAAATAAGTATTTTTAAAGCAATTAAAATTACTTGGACACTATTCAGTATGGGTTTCAAGTACGAGTATTTCTTACTTATTCCTAGTTATGGTTTATCATTTCCGAAGTTCAATATAATAATATACATATTTAACTACCCTTTGACCATAGCCGTTTCCGTTATCCATAATAGTAGCACGTATTGAATAAATAATAACTATTGGTATTTTTTTTCTGTTGGGTTTATAATAATAAGCATGTTTACATATTAATATTCTCAATTCTCAAAATTAAAAAATATCCTAAGATTATGCCTCCAAGCATCTCTCCAAGTGCCCTCCTTCATTTCCTTCCATTAAGTTTCTCGTAGCCTAGTATAAATCTTCTGACTCAGCTGTATTCTATTTATATGAGTGAGGGTGAGCTATGCTATATAATAAAGCTACATCATTATTAACAATAAAGATGTTGAAGAATGCTAGATAATGGGATGTTACCTGGTACCTGCTACCGACTGCCAAACTCCATCTTTCGCCGGAATGGTCAAGTTGGCAGTAGATGTTCGATAAGGCAGAAGTGGATTCTGGGCCATGTAACTACTTTTGTAGTTCTTACTGTCTTCCGCGAGGTTCTGATATACCAGATAGTCTTCCCCATGCTGCAACCATTTTAGTAAGATTATATTAAGTTAAATATAACGAATTTCAACATACATTGAATTTGTAATAATTTATTATTAAATGTTTGCTATCGGCTATAATTAGTGTGGTATCCGTGACTTAGCTCCTAAAAATATTTAGAAATTAGTCAGTTTTTAATATAAAAAGGAATTTATGTGATTCTATGCTCCTAGTCCCCTTCCTTATTTTTACTCATTAAGTTTCTCGTGGCCTTTTGGAGAGCTGTCTCATTATAAGTTGAGGTGAGACTGAAGGGACTTATAATGTTACGTTGAGATATTAAGTATAAAATCCATAAATATCAAAGTGAATGATCGTAAATATTTATGATGATACGGCAATTATTAACCATAATTATAGTTTAAGCAGTCATTCAGTGGACGTGGTCATCGATCACACTCATAATATATTTGGGTAATAGTTATTACATAACCTATGCTTCCGTTCACTTGAGACTTCTGGTATTGTAAGTCGAAAGCTCTGATGAAGACCAACAACGTTGGTCGAAACGTAGGGTATCCAAAGAATATTACAACGATATATTATGGGTGTGATTCTTGATCACACCCCTCCCCATCTAACTACTCCTTCAATTAGAATACATATACATATAAACAAAATATCAATATTGTTAAAATAAATTATATTGCTTATAGCAGTTATTTGTAACGATACTAGATCAGTATACTTTTGTAAATAACCTGAATAATTTATCAATGGTCTGTGTAATTATATCATTTTGAGAACACCAAACACCCGAATGAAATATGTTTATTCCCAAAAAATATTTTTATTTTTTTCTCTCTTCATACTTTCATCCACACCTGTCATAGAATTTACAATAAGCAGATGTGATCTCAATGTGAAGAAAATTGTCATTTAAGACATGAAGAAGATTAGTACAAGCAGTACCTCTTCCTGGTCTTGGTCTACTTCATAATTTAGGAAAGGAGATCTCTCATCCAGCTCCTCTTTAGTCGTCTCCTGCTGGGCATGTCAGCTGTGGCCCTGTCGTCGATAAGTCCGTTGTGATGTCCGTGTAGCTTAAGATGAAATCGGGAGTAGAGAGTACGTATGTGTTGATCGATAGTTGGTTGTTGTAGGTCGGTATGTAAAGTTTGGTTGTTTACGTGCCAGGGATCAGATATTATTAGTTTTAAAATTTTGGATCAATGAATGTGAGACGTATGTCCATATGGATTTGAGTAGGTAATTGTACGTATATAGTTTTTGTCTGATATTTAGTTTTGATTTGGAAAAAACGGAATATAGTATTTTTAGTCGTTTGTTCAACGTCATTCGTTTCATTGTGACATGTGGCCCCCAGGAAATAAATAAATAATTCATAATTATCTGTTTCTTGAAATGAATTTGAACATTGGCTAATATATCTAGATTTCCAAACAGAGATCGGAAATGAGGTTTATGGACTGAAGGGTTTCAGATACCCTTGAGTCAATAAACTTTGTAATGGTTGACATAAAAGTGAGCACCGGAAAGTTGATCTGATTACAATCGGACTTTTCTTACCTAGTACCAGTAGTAAAGTAAAAATACCCCGCAATAAAAAAAGATAATATTTTTTTCTTTTTGAACAGACAAAACGAAAAAAAAATTTTTTGGTAATATACAATAATTAACGTTAAGCATTATGAACCAAAAAAATCAACAAGTAAAACCGTATAGTTGCCGATATGGAATTAAAAGATGAATGTCAAATCGAAGATTTTTATGGATCAAATAATTTAAAGCAAAATATCTGACTTATTATTTTACAAAAAATATTAAAGGTTCCTGCAGAGGACAGAATTTCCAATGGGGTTTTTAGAGGTGAGTCCTGTGGAATAGCAGCTTCAAATCTCTTAGATTGTATCGGTTTACATCAAGCTTTGGCCTTGATTACATCGGAAGGACAATAGCCTCACCTGATGATACTCGTTCCGAGATAAAGTTCGAAACTCCATTACGATCAGATAACTGATAACGTGAAGTTGTGAACTACTCGAATCAGGACATGGAAGAAAACTGGTTACTTTATCATCAGATATAGATGATGAACACATCACATTATTGATTTCTGCCTAGTTTCAACTTTATATTCATTCATAGATAAATATTTTATCAATATTGTAAATATGATAGCAGTACCTGTGCTATAATAACTGCCTCGTCGTAATTGCTTCTTAATCTAGAGTGACCTCTACGGTTTCGGGATCTGCTACTTTGGTCGATGAGGAAGATCTCGGTGAGGACGATCACAAAGAAGACGGCGAAGAAGATGACAACGATGCAGAAGGACATGTTGGCTCGCTCGCGCAACACGCGCCCTGATACTCTGCCCATTTCATCTGAAAGCCGAGGAAAGAAAATTTGTAAAACAATATTGTTCATATTGACAAAATCATTATAACTGTGATTTTTATTTAAAAAACATTTAGTTCAACAAAAACGATGGTTCTTCATAAGTTTATTTCATAATACATTAACAGATTCAATTGGTGATGTAAGCAGTGTCAGCCTTAGACATTTGGCGCTGCCGGATAATGACGTCATCTACTTCAAAAACATTAAATTATTTCTCAAGCTGTTGAATTTTACTTAATTCAACATGTCTCTGAATTATTTAATTATTTTTTGAGAAGGAGTTGATCGGGGGGTGCGGTCAAATTAATACTAAATTAAACAAGGAGAATTATTTAATTTTTGCCGACGTTACGACGCACTTTGCAGGTCTTCATCAGGGCTACAAAAGATACAAAACGTGGTGAAAATAAAATAAATGAATATAAGTAGATATAAGATAAGAATAAGTTGTCTGATACAGAAATAAAAAGATGATATCAGAGATATAGTAGGTGACAATGTAGTTAAAATATCAAGTATTATATGTAGAAGATACAAACAAAATGGAAAATAAGTATGAATAAAAATATAAAATAAAGGAGAATATAGTATGTAAGTTAAAAATAAACAGATTGCGATAAAAGATAAGGAAGTGTATAACAAACTAATACAGATTACATTTGATAAATGTAGGTTAACATATAAAGAAAATGAATGTTAACGAATAAATAGATTGTAAATTCAATAAGTATTGATAAAGTAAAGCTAAAGTAAGCTTTTATTTTCACCATGTTTTGTATCTTTTGTAGCCCTGATGAAGACCTGCAAAGTGGGTCGAAACGTCGGCAAACATTAAATAATTCTACTTGTTTAATTTAGTATTAATTTGACCGCACCCCTCGATCAATTCCTCATATTATATCAACGGTGAACCATCTCTACATCATTATAAATTATTTTTTCTATAATAAGCTAAAATTAATCATTCTCAAAGGATTTAATTTTTTTTTTTTTTTTGTTGATTCAAAACAAGTAGAAAGGCGATCCTCTTCAGGTCGGCGTCCCCGTCTCTAAGGCCAGCACTGGATATAAGTTAAAAACGCCAGATCATCCACTGACGAATTTTACATTTTTATTTTATTTTTTTATTAATTGTCTGTTTTCCTAGAGGATTATTTCACTAAATATTTCTCATTACTCATGGGACAACCTTGGATGAATTACTGGAAATGGAAATTCATTCTTAAATTTTGTTAACACGAATAAAAAACAACATTGTAAGTCAATTCGCAAAGTGGAGTTAAAATGAACTAACTGATAAGTTTCGCTTCGAAAGATGAAGGTGACAAATTAGCATTCAGAGTCATTTACCGTGATATTTCCATTATCACTCGTAGGTAACTTGTAGATTTAAATACGCTATTTAAATCTTAGTGTCTGAGTGGCTTTATACGATGGCGTTGTCAATATCAAATGCAAAGAAGCGATGAAGAAAATGTAGAGGACGGAATTCAAAACGTTAGTTATGGAAAACTGGCCTCAACTGGAAAAAATACCCGGACAAATCTGTATCATAGCGAGCTCTGGATGAACGCCCAGAGAATTAGGAGCGAAATATATCTAGAAATGCAATATTATTTGCTTTCTAGAGCTGGGAAAACATTCTTAACACTCTTATTTTAGCTGTTACCAATTTCGTATTAACAGTCTTAGCAGGATGTTAAAATATATCTAAATATTAAATAATTTATCGAATTTTAATTATTAAGATTTTAAGTTTTTGATTGCTGAAGGGCTCTAATAAAGATAAAAATATTTGTTTTAAAAACGTAAGCACCTTTTAATTTTATTTTAGATATATTTAAATAAAATGTAATTACGGTGATTTATAAGAATATTTTCATTATAATATAAAAATCCAAATCTAACAGGTATAACCTTATTTTTCTTTTAACTTTTTTTTTGGTACAAGTAATGGAAAAACTCATAAATTTTTCGGCTGTTAATTTCCTTTGACTTCGAAAAATTAATATAGATTATGAATGATTTTTATATCATGCCTTAGAACCCTAACCGTCAGAAGCCGGCGATATTGAAAAATTCTCCCACCCCCATTTCATATCCTGAGCTGAAAGGAAGTTTAATCAAGCCTCGGAGGGACAGAGCCGGCTTTGAAGTAAAGTAGCAGGAATACTTTATTGCCGAAGCAGGCAGTACTGGAACAACTGTTGACACGCAAATCCTTGGAGCGGGATGAAGTTTGCCCTGTAGGATTGCAGTCACGCATCTCATGTTAAGGCAATGTCCTCTCTCTTACCTCCAAACTTAGCTCTTACTGAATTTAAATGCTTCCCGAGTCTTCCTTATTTTTGCAATTCTGATTCCTAGAGGATTTTCCTGTTTGAGGTGATCCCTATAATCTCCTAGAGGATGTCATTACGACACAATTATTGAAGAAACTTAAAATACTATACTATTGGAAATACTATGATTCCACAGAAGGAAAATTCATCAGATCACTTACTGATTTAGTTTCTAGAATGTTCCTAAAGAATTTTATGCAATAAACCAAAGATATAAATTGTGTTTTCTTTATGTTAGCCCTCTATATAGAATATATATATTGGCGTCTTCGGGGATCTCGAGGCGAAACTAAAACATTTGATAAATTGCCATGTACGATTCATCTTCGGAATCCAAAGGGACGCCTCTGTTTCCCGTTATTATGAAGAGCTGAAATGGCTTTATCCTTCCTACCGACGTAAGTATTTCCTAGCATCCTTCCTCTAAGAACTCATCCAATCTCGCCTTCCTTCATGCATCTCCGAGTTCCTTCAATTCAAATCCTACGTCCACTACCGTGGACTACCCGTTCCCGGTCTTCAGATTTGCATATAAGAGCCCATCAAACCGCTGCTTCCAACAGATCTTTCATTATTCCATCTACATCCCTATGGAATTCTATCCCATCCTACATCCGTCGCTGCAATACCCTCCCCAACTTTAAATTCTGCCTGTTCAATCATCTCTTATCCGATCAGTTCTAGTAAAATTGTAAATAGATGTTGTAATATGTATGTAAGTAATTAGTTTGTTTTAAATACTTTTACTTCCTTTTTTTTCCTCTTTATTGATGTTTAAAGATAAATAATATTCTTTTCTTGTATTTATTCATAATACAAATCGGTTTATTTTGTGACTCTCTGAGGCTCCGAAGCCCACATTTCTATCTTTATATATTATTACATTATTCTAAAGGGACATGTCGACAACCGAAAGGGACACCTCAATACCGTATTATTATTCATATAAATAGCTCTTCAATGTTTTATTATTCATTGTATAAATTATATTATTATTCAAAAAAACAGATTGGATAAAAAAAGTTGTCCATTCCATCCTTCTATTTTTTTTTTTTTTTTTTGTTCTCTCTTTTCTCGCCTTGCCTTTAAGGCTATACGGGGGTTTTCCCGGACCAGGAAGTGTGGGCGGGGATTTAAAAACTCCTCCGGGCACCGGGACGCGCACTCGTGACTATTTTTTTATCAAGTCTTAAGTATCAGGTTGCCGGGCAACGGCGGTACAGTGCACACGCGTTAGCCCATTGTAAAATCGGTGATAAAGGATCGTTATATGATGGTCAACTGATTTCCGAACAACCAAGTAATTATTTCAATTTACTATCTAAAGTTATTACGCCATAGGAATGTTGTTTAAGGTAATAAAATGTTTTTTTCACCCTTTTCTCCTCTCATAAAAGTAAAATCAACAATATCAGTGTTACATTTCATTACATGTAAATGTTTAGTTTATGAAGCTTAAAATATTTTTTTTTTAATTTTCTGTTTAATTTTTATGAAAATCTCATTCAGTTTTTATGGAAATATTTATTTTTCATCCAATACTCATCTTTCTCATGTTGAACTAAATTTATTCCAGTGACCATTTGTGAAAGTTATTAGAGGATATTAATAAGAAGGGAACTAAGATGAAGATGAATTTCAAAAAATTGTTTCGTTTTCAAAAATGGGTTACGGAGTAACCTATGCACCTAATGTATTCAAACTGTACAAAATGTTACAATATATCAGAGTAAACCATCAAAACTGATACTTAAAAAATCATAGTCAGTAATATCATAAAAATAGTGTTGAGAGATATTTAAATGATTCAAACAGTAGTATTTTATTTTTTTTATTTTTTCTAACGATTGTATATAGTAATTCCTAATAATGTAAATAGTGCTTTGTTGTTTAACTAAAGCAAAGAAGTATCTAAGTTCCAGATAACTATTAAAAACGTCTATGAAAGCTTTTAAAATATACGTTCCAATAAATGGAAATCATAATTGATAAATCGAAGTTGAAGAGAGTAATAGTTCCAGAAAGGAAGGTTTGAGGAAGCGTCGTTAAGAAGGCAGCACTTGAAGCAGACCTTACAAGTAAGGCTCTTATCAGCTCAAGTATAAGACTTGGGCTCAAGCTCCTTCATCTAAAACACTTAAGGTGCTGCCGTCAATGCTACAAGTTCTACCATCGCGAAGAGTTTAAAAAGGAACTCGATGGTCGATTTTCAAGTACAAAATAACATAATTTAGTTATTTAACAGTTCAATAATAGCTATAATTTACTCCGCATGAAATAATGGAACGGTGATACGTCATTGGTCAACAATTATTTGCAAGGATATAAATGAAGGATTCAATAACTATGTCTTAACTCTTCCAACTAGTTTTTAAATTTTATATATATATATATATATATTTAAAAGATAAATAATAAAACTTTTGAAAGGTAATTAAATTTCCAACAAAACAAAAAAAAAAATCATCGGAATCGAACCAGTATTAGCGATGATACAGCTTATTCTACTTTTTTTACACATTTTTTTAACTACTTACTTTCCTACCTATACTAGGTAAGGAAAGTATTGCAATCGGGTCAAATTTCCGACATGCGGTTTTCGACGGATCTATACGGATACGTTTCAGAGCATCCTGTGTGCC